GGTCCGGTTTGGGGATTTGCCTGTGGATGCAGATTCGGTGAGGTGGATCAAATTCCTTTGCAGCGCTTAGTCTTGCTGGCCACGCAAGGACAGGAAAGAAGGGAGCAGAGGCACAGAGAAACAGAGAGAGAGAGAGAGAGAGAGAGAGAGAGAGAGAGAGAGAGACAGACAGAGCTGGACATAGAGAGAGCGAGACAGGGAGAGAGCATGAGGGGTATGTATGTACGTATGTCTGAATCTGTGTATGTATGCATGTTTCTCTGCAAGAAGCATGGTCGTGTCTTGAGAGTTCGAGCCGGAAAGCCCAGACCCACCCAACCCAGCAAAGCTCGCCATCCCTAAAGCCTATACTCTTCATGTCCCAGCCCCTTTCTCCTGAAGCCTGATGCCCTGCACTTCCATCCCCAGACCTGGCTGCAAAATTCTGCTCATCGTTATCATTGGCTATCATGGCTATTTGTCAAAGTTATGGTCCCTTTTTGGGTACCCTAAATACTACGTGCAGTATTGTACTAGGGACCCAAAAAGGGACCCTAATTTTCACAACCCCCTCTCATGGCTACTTGTAGTCAGTAACAGTCTATATAATAGGGTTACTATTAAGGGCCTTATATGTCCATATTATGAACATTGCTCGACTGTTACTGAGTCGGGGCAGTATGCGAATTGTCAATTGTAGTAATTACGAGGGGGTACTTAGAAATAATTGTTAATTTTTGGTTATGATAATCCCTAAGAAACAGCTAAAATTGCAATTTTTGCTCGGGTTCTAAGTTCAGTATAGATTAGTCTTCTCATGGTTCTCAGCCTTCGATCAGAAACGCTTCCGCTGCGGAAGGTCTCCTCGCCAAGGGCCAGTCCGAAAGCTCCCTGCAGAGGCTCCCCGCAGTGTAATGTAGGAGCCATAAGAATTAGAGTACGTAGGGTTTTGGGGGTTCCTTGTGGTTATAACGATAGTATACTATCCCCCAAGACCTTATTCTAATCGTTAAGGCCCCCTACAGTAGGTTTCCGAGGGCTTCGTTTTGCTACTCTCGCGGAGGGATAATCCGATTGGAGTTTCGGGTTCAGGGCTTGGGGGTTTGGGTTGTTTGGGCGGATTCCGAGGAGTTTAGACAAGACCAGAAAGCACAGAGTGCCCAAGTCATGAAGGGTTTTGGACGCTGCGAGGGATCGGGGGATCGGCGGCTCTGGTGCAGGTCCTGATCCGCCTTCGCCCTGGCAGGAAGCAAAGAAGAGGCCTGAGGCTTGGCGTGTGGAGGAGAAAGCAATTAGTCAGCCCCTGAAGCTACGAAGGGTGAGTTTGGGGAGAAGCCTGATAGGAGATGGGAGCATGAGTGCGCAAGCGCAGGCATCAATAACCGCACTCCAAGATGTGGGATGCTCTGCCCCGCACAGCTTCGCGGCTTGAATCCCACTTCCAGGTTTGACTTCAGCTCCGTGGGGTTTTCCCGCCGGGTACCCAGGATCGTCGAAACTGCACGCCGTATTTGACGCGGCTCTCGTGTTTCGTTTTGAGGATAGGCTCGTTATGGTAAGGTGATGGAATCGGCCTGACTTTCAAAAGCTCTGAAGTGATCCATAATGCTGTTCAGGCTCTCGGCACAGCGTGGGAGAAGATGCTTCCATTAAATCTGTCTAAGGTAGTGTGAGTTTTCCGAGCGCGAGTGCGATTCTATTCCTTCTAAACGAGACAGCAGGTGGATATGCCAAACAGTGGGCGCCAACTCCCCTCCGGAAAGGAGTTCGTGGGATCAGGGTGGTAAGATGTGACATCTTGGTTTGGAAGAGCACGGGGGGCCCGAGGGCTGGCCCAAGACTTCTGCTTCAGCTTCTTCTTGAGTATTCCATCTGGATCCGCATGTGCTGCCTGCTACTGCTGTTACACGCCACCACTTGAAGAAAGCACATCTGTTTGCTGACTAGCTTGAAGATTGAAAAACAGCTATTGGTGTATCGTGGAAAAAGCTGAGACTGCCAATATCGCCACTTCCTGTGGTACTAGTAACTACTAGTATTCTTCCGCAATGTTAAAACCAAGTTTTCCCCCAAAAGGAGTGTTAGTATCAGAGGTAAGTTTAGCAGCATCGCTTTGCTCAGTGCTTTATTTCAAACCCTTCTTTGGGCAGCCCGCAGGACCCTGCAGTCCTACGGTTGATTACATAAATCCTGCGTTACCTTAAGGACCCTAAGCTATGGGAGTAATGGTATATTCCTTGTTATGGGTAATGCAGGATGTATATTATCAACCATATATTCCTGCGGCCCTGGCTGGTTGCAGTTCTTGCAGACAACCATGCCGACTGCTAAGACGATGGCGACGACTACTACAGCTACTACGACCACCACTACTATCAGAGTAGAAGTCATGGCGGTGCTAACAGTACTGACAGCAAACCGTCAGGGTGGTAACAGCGAAGGCGTCGCTGCAACAGCAATGGGAAGTGCTACTATACTATAATACTATACTTTCATACCACGCTACAATGCTATACCATGCTACTATACGATAATACTATCCTGTATGAGAGACATCAGCAAAAGGAGCCTCGAAACCAGGGTTGCCCTTGCTGCCGGCTCTTCCAGAGGACTCCTGGTCTGAAGTACTTTGATATCAAAGGGCCCCAAGGGATGAAGGTAGGTGGGGCGATCCCAAAATCAGAGAGAGTCCTTATATAAGGGACCCTTGATCCCACCTACCTTCATCCCACCATGGGGGCCCAGTATCCTTATCATTAGTGTATGCTTGCAAAAGCATGGTAGGAAATACTTCTGTTTTGTGAACTCTGAAAGCTTGCAAGAGTGGCTCGGAGAGCTCGGCAAGACAAGAGCATAGATTGGATGTTGATATCAGGGAGAACCAGAAGTTCAGTTTGCTTTGGTTGGTGCCAGGACTTCTTTGAGCAGGCGTTGCCGCTAGCTTAAGTGTATCTCAAGGTTCTCCAGGTCTGTCAGGCACTGCGTAGTATTCAGGCATTTAACGGGATGCGGGTGATCTTAGTCGGCGTTTGGGTGCCCACGGATAGGAGATGCTTTCAGGGATTTGGAGATTCCTGTTGGTATCAGCACTGTTACACCTGCAAGATGCCGTTTTGCATCAGTCGGCGTCTATCTCGAACTACAAGGCAGACATCAATCCGAGGCAGGCAGGCCAAAAGCAGAGCCTGTAATCATCAAGCCCAAAGACTAACAGTCCAAAAGTTTAGAGAGCCCCTTGCCGTTCGGCTCACATGGCTCTTGCCCGCCAACAATCCCAAGCATCCAGGAAAGGAGTTCATTGCCATGCATGGCTCCTCCAGCACTCAGCCCTACTATAGTCGGATTACTAGGCTCCCTAATATGATTTAACAAAATATTCCTTCGCTAAGGGTCCAGGCAGGGATCTGAAATTCAGGGCACCAGAACCTCGCAGTTTATCTTGAGCTGTCGCCTGTGTACTTCCGCCAGGACTTGCTGCTGCAGGCCGAAACCGCAGCCTTGCGAAGAAGCCGCCCCAAACCTCGGAATGGAGCCCACAGGAAAGGGCGCTGGACCTATGCCATTCAACCTTAATACAGGGGCCTAAAGAATTTCCAATACCATTTTTGGGGGGTTCCTTATTCGATTTATAGTATAATGGGCCCCAAAACCCTATTCTAGTTATTATTAAGGCCCCTACATTACACGTCCCTGTTTTCTCAGCCCAGAGCCTCTCAAGATCAGAGGGTTCACCATCGCCGGGCTTCAGAGTTCCGATTTTCCATGGCACCCCCATGTGGGTGGATGTCAAAATTATGGCCCCTTCTTGGGGAACCCTAAATATAGGTGCCGTACTATATTAGGGAACCAAAAAAGGACCATAATTTTGACAACCACCCATGTGGAACCGTAGAACGTGCATTTTGGAACCCTCAGGCATGCGAGACTCACGTAAGCGCCGAAGTTCTGCAACCTCCATGAATCATTCAGCCACTAAATTTCTGTGCTTTCCACGATTCCTTTGCTTCCAATGTAAAATTCCGCAAAACCCTAATCTAATTATTAAGGCACCTATAGTATCTCTCCGCAGCGCCAGATCCTTGTCACCTGCCTGGAAGCCACCTCCCTGGTGTCCCTGGCACAGACCTCCAAGAGGCTCAAGGCCAGCACTTTCCTTTGCTGCTGGGTTCAACAATACTTGGATGTTCATGGGACTTAGTAACTAGGGCTATAAGTAAGGTAACTACACTTATAATTTAATTATAACCCCCGTTAGGGTACTCAAAACTGTACTTACTAAGTCCCATGGACCTCCAAGTAATGGTGTATCGGTTTCAGGGATTTAGGGAGTTGACACGGGCGATGTGTTTTTTTTGTTTTCAGGTTCTCTACAGCAATCAACCCGGAATGTTGCACCTAAGCCCTTTGCACTAGACCCTGTTGTCTTAGTCAGTCCGAAAGTTGGCACCCGGAGACTTGAGAAGTCCTTCCCCAAGGGTGTAAATCAAATGCCGTGATGAAGTCATGTCTGATCACATGCGCTCGCCTGATGGACCATGAAGTAATTGGGAGTTTGCAGCTTTTTGCTGATCGCCCAGCGCTTCGCTTAAGAACTCAGGGATTGGGTTTTTTTTCCGGATCAGGGCTTATCTAGGTGACACGACTTGCGCCACCCTGGGAGAATTTAGATGGTGGAGCTAGTTGACATGGTCGTATCAGTAAAGAAATCAAGATCCTTCATGTGGTGTAGATTGATCTCGTCTTGTCCATCGAAGAAGCTAGCTGATGGCCTCCTACGAATCACGCTGCTGACCTTACTGTAACTCCACTTGTTAATACCTGCTTCTGTTCATCTTCTTCAACCTCATCGGAGATGTAAAAGTCCATCTTGTCAATGTCAACACCAGGCTCCGCTCCGCAAAGCAGGTTGTTGATACTGTCAAGAGCCAATACGACCGAGACCTGACTCTGCAAAGCCCAAGAAAGACACGACAGCTCCAACTCAGCGATTTCAAGAAACGAGTGCGTTGCAGGCCTATAGCATGATCGCAGCGACAGATCGAGTCGAGGCGACGCTTTTGCGGGTTTTGGATTCCTTTTTTCTGAATCGAGGTGCTAGACGTATGTCAGGACTGGGACTTTCGTGGAAGGGGCAAGATGCCTTCTCGAGAAACACTCAAGCCATCTCAAGCCCAAACCCGAGACTGCAAACCGTCAACATATCCTTGCACCTCTTAGCCCTTGCAGGTGTGTTTCTAGACTCCTATGTTGCCTGCGTTCGCAGTGACATCCTCTCCTTGCTGCGTGATGGCCTGCGCAGCACACGCCGCAGCAGCCGTTTCCATTACAGCATCAAGTGAAGCAGTGGAGCTGATTGCCGGACCCTTGGAGTTTCTCTCCCATAGTCCGCTTGAAACCTGTCCAGGAGCCGGCATCCGAAGGCACGCGGCCGCCGCTGGCTGCGCTGAGACAGCTGCGGCTAATTGAAAAGATGGCATCTCGGCCGGTGTGTGTTCATTATTCCGAGTCTGGTTCGGTCAGTGCGAAGGTTGTTCATGAGCAGCTTGGATGTTTCCAGTTGCATGAGTTTCAGCGCCGGGTTTCGAACTTTGCACTCTCGCCCGATGCAAGCGTTTGAGTTAAGCTTTTTGGATCACACTGAGAGTCCATGGTGCGATTGCTGGCTTTTGTCTTGCTTCTCCACACCCACTTGCCTCACGGTTTCCAAGCTCGAAAGACAGGAGGCGCTGCTCTGCCCGACGATGGGTGCCGTGTCACAGCCCGTGGTCATCGCGCGCACCCGAGGCTCTGGACGGCCTAAACAATGTACAAGCGATCCCGTTCGAGGTTCAGTGATTCAGGGTTGCGAGAGTCGCTTGATCCGACTGAGAGGAAGAGGAGTCAAGGGAGTATTGCTCAAGGGACTGAGGCACAGGAGTCGCACTGTAGCGGATGTAGACGGTCCGGGTTGCATCTGTAGTCTACGGCCAGGGTAGAACCGCCCGCACATCGCCACTGTCAAACCTTATCCTCCTCATCCGTACTCCACTCGATCCTTTCCCTCCCGCCTTTCCCGTTGACACAAGAAAGCCCTAAGCCCTCCCTAAAACCTAAACCCTATTTTTTTGCACTAAACCCTGAACGAAAAATCCCAAGAACTGCCCCTCGCTGGGGACTTCCGTCTCTTCGGCCCGCAGGCAGCTCCCTCCTGGACTGGTCCTTTGCAGGTGGAGGCGAAGTTCCAGCGAAGGGCAGCATGTACGCAGTACTCCTCCCTCCCTCTCTCTCTCTGCACAGTTATACAATTATATGTATATATATATATACATACGTGTACACGTATATACATACGAATACATAACATGTATGCAACATGTATGCATATATACATATGTACATGTGTACGTATATGCATATATGCGCATATGCATATATACCTTCACAAGTTTGTATACATACATACATACATACATATGTATATGTACATATATACATATGTAGTATGTGCTTGTACAAGTAAATAAATAAATAAATATAAATATATATATATATATATACACACATATGTAAACATGTGTGTGTATGTATGTATATATATATATATATATGTGTGTGTACATATATATAGATATATATATATATACACATACAGTACATGTAGTATTCGTGGTTAGTTCCTGTCCTTTGGACACCGATGCAGACTACAAGGACAGAGTCTGCATGGCCGCGATATCAACATGTTTCTTCGCAGGGGCAAATAACGTACAGCACAAATTGTGATCGGCACATTTTCGGCACATTGGCCATGTACATGTTGGCCAGGTAGCGGGTCTGGAAGGCCTTTTCTAGGCTTTTGTATTGCAGAACACGCGCAGGGACTTGGCTCAAGTCAGCCGTAGCCATAAAGCCCAAGAGACTGTGACTGTTCCCATGGGAAGTACACAGTCACAGACTTGCTGCAGGAGCAGCGTCAGCGATGTGCCACCAGAAGTGGCAGTTGCTGGTTTGCCCAGAGAGACCCCGGCGGGGTCTGAGCAAAAAGAGGAGAGCTGGGAGGGACAGGTGGTCAAGACGGAACCAGGAGAGGAGACCTTCGGCGCCCAGGACATTGAGAAGCTTCAGATGGAGGAGGCAGCTGCAGAAAAGCAGGAGACTGTCCCAGGGGCTGTCGTGGAGCCGAAGATGTACTATCCAGCCGAATTGACCATAAGCCCCAAAGATATTCTCTGCGGACCGCTTGCACTGAAACTTTGGGGGAACGTGGTTCCGGTGATTCTTCTTGGTGGCTCCTATAGGGCTGCTCTTTGGAGCGGCTGGCGCATACCAGCAGCTCTGGCGATCGCCACCACTCTCGCACTCGGAACCTGGCAGGTAGCGTGGCAGACGGCCAAGTTAGGTATGGGCCGTGTCCCTACCTGGGTTGTGCTGTTTGAATTGTCTCTTCACTGGCTGTTGTTCGCAGGGGAGAAATACTTTCTGGGACCTTTCCAGTCACGGTCGAACATTATTGCCACGTTTTGCACGCCCTTCGTCTATCTGCCCTTCGGAGAAAGGAAACTTTTCGGAATAGGGACAGGTATCGTTCTGCGTGCTATGGGCGCTTTAAGCCTCTTTCTGGGCAGCTATCTCGTCGCCCTGCGGGGCCTCATCCAGACTGAGGCGCTCCAGGACATGTTCTACCCTGTTGTATCAACCGTATATAAGACGCTCTTTAATCCGATCGTCGGATTCACTTGGGCATATTTTCCAGGGCGTCGCGATTGTTCGGCTTTATGGCTGACGTCTGCCACGGCCACAGTAGCGGTGTCCTCGGAAGGCTTCTACTACGGTGGCTTGGCATTGATGCTTGCCCTTGACCAGGGTACAAACTACCAAGTAGTGCGGCGTGGAGCGGTGTCGGTTGCGACGCATGCTGCTCTTGCCATCCTTGGTCGATTCAATGTTGTGGGTACTTTAGTCATGTTGACGAGGCGCAGACTGGCCCGGCAGTTTGGCTGGCAAGTGCCTGAACTGAAAGAGTTCGGGACTCAGAAGGATCTTGTTCTCAGAACTTCCTCCTTGTCAGCAATGCTGTCTTGGGCCATCATGTTTCTCGCATGTCTCTTCTACATGCTCGCCTCCATGGCCGCCCACCTAAAATACGGTTGTGACCGGGCTTCGCCAACATGCCGCTACCTCTACCGCCCAGCCACCTATGTTGTGGGCCTCTTGGCAGGATTCGGCATGATCATGACAGAGTTCATTGTGGCTTTGGGGATGCGCTGGCTTCGGCAGCAGCGCGGCAGTACGGAAGGTGGGTGGACACCCGCAGCGATGTGGAAGGCATTGAACCAGCTGTCACTTCCAGGCATGCACTGCCAGCCTTTCGCTACTGCAAAGGCTGCCGAAAAGATCCCCGACTCAGTCAATACGGGGCTATCTGGTGTAGAGGGTTTCCTCTGCTTGACACCTCGTGACTGTGCTGCGCTCCTCTCCACGAACTTTACCCTTGCTTTGCTCATGGGAACCATCGGATCCCTCCTCATTTTGGGAATGCAGGAGGAGCTGGAGGCTTTGCTGGTTACATAGCTCACGTAGCTGACGCTTTTTAAAGTACCAGCCTTTCGAACTGATGTGCAGGCAGGAGTTTCACAAATCACCAGCCTATCGAGAAACTCGAGAAACAGACGTGCTACTTGCATCGTGCTTTTGCGGCAGCCGGATGCTGTGGAACATGGAAATCACTGACGTTCACTAGAGAGGTCTTGTAGATTCGCCAGGTTGTGCGGACGAGGTCGGGCGACTCTTTGCCGGTGCTGGGCTCTCACCGATCGCCTTCAGCAATTCCTCTTCGCAATTCGGTGGCTCGGCATGCATGTCTCGGCCATTCATGCGAACTCTTTTTGTCAGATGTTGTTGCTCGAGTCATCTTTCTCCCGAAGACCCCGTGAGAATCTATGCTGAATGCAGGTTAGACATCAAGCGAAATGCCTTTTGGATACCGGCTAAGACTGGTGCAACCCTGGCCATTGCTTTGTTGTCGTTGTTGCTGCTGCTGTTGCTGTTGCTGTTGTTGTGCTGTCGTTGTTGTGGTTGTTGCGGTTGTCGTGGTTGTTTTGGCAGTTTTTGTGGTTTTGGTTACTGTACTGTTTTGGTTTTGTTATAGTTCTTCTTGTTGTTGTTATTCTTCTTGTTCTTACTGTTCTACTTCTTGTTCTTCTTCTTCTTGTTACACTTCCTGTTCTTATTGTTCTACTTCTTGTTATTATTCTTCTTCTTGGTACTCTTCTTGTTCTTCTTGTTCTGCTTCTGGCTCTTCTTCTTGTTCTTCTGTGCTTCTTCTTGTTCCGCTCTTGTTGTGGTTGTGCTTGTGGTTTTGGGTTGTGGTTGTTGCCGCTGCTGCTGCTGCTGGTGGTTGTGGTGGTCGTGGTGCTTCTTGTTGTTTTGCACTGAGCATTCTTTATGAATATTGTCGTAGGCGTGGGCAGAGTAGTTGTGCTCATGATTTGGGCAGAATACATGCCGTGATTGTGCTGATGATGGCCGAAGCGATGAGAACTAATGGCTACATAGCAGTATGAGGTTGACGGTGAAACGATGATGTTGTTCGCAATGACGATGCTGCTCATGACGATGATTTTGATGGCGATGAGGGTGAGGATGAAGATGAGGATGGCGACGGTGATGGTGAGAACGATGACCACGATGATGGTGACGATGGCGAAGAACAGAAATGTGATCTGTTCTCGGATGCCCAGGCGTTTCGTCTGAGACCATGCTCCTCAGCCCGCATGGAGCTTTGCCGGATCCGACGGTGCGGATCGTCTCAGTGGCCTGCGGCAAGGACTCCGGTTTGGCGTTTGTGAATTTCTGGCTTCGTTTGACTATATCAAGATGTCTGGTTTGCTCTTCTTGGGACAGTTTCGAGACCGCCAACTCTTTGACTAACCAGATCTTGCTGGGCTGAGAGCCGGTTTCCCAATGCCGCGCGCAGCCTACAGCCCGAACCTCGGAAGGTGGAAGTCCTGGGACCAAACCCATCAAGGCAGAATACCATCAACACTATTATAATACTATTATAACACTATAGTACCACTATTACTACTATTACAAGACTACTATTGTTACTATTGTAACACTACAATACTACTATTATAACTAGTATCTCTTAGGACCATCTCCTTCTCCTGGACAGCGCCGGCCGGCCCTGGGCGCTTGGCGATCCTTGCGCGGCAGGAGCCTCTCGGCCCTTGCAACACAAGTTTATGTATGCATGTAGGCATGTATATGCGTTTGTATGTGGTATGTATGTAATTGGGTATATGGGCATCTATACACACATATCAAGTTTGTGTACGGACAGGGGGACCCCCATGACGGCGGCAATATCGAGAGAAGCGACAATCATAATGCTCGTTGCAACCATGACCGGCATCATCATCTGCATCATGATGACGATGATGATGATGATGAGGAGAATGATCATCCTTTGTTTCAGCATCAGCATCATCCTCATCATACATGATCTTAATCCTCATCGTCATCGTTATTGTCATGGCCATCGTCACCATCACTGGGCACTGCCACCATCACCTTGACCATCATCATCGTCGTCGTCATCATCATAATCGTCATCGTTTTCGTCATCATCATCACTGTCAGCCTCGTCATCAGCAGCGCCATCAGCAGCATCAGCAGCATCAGCAGCATCAGCAGCATCAGCAGCATCAGCAGCATCAGCAGCATCAGCAGCATCAGCAGCAGCGTAAAGCAGCTCCACACTTATCCTTTTGACGAGAAAGTCCATGACAATGGCAAGCCTGCTGTTGACGATCGTTGTAGAGACGTTCAGTGATATGTGTTCGCACAGGATGCTCAGCTTGGTATTTTGCAGTACTGTGGTTAACTGCCAAGAGCAGCGAGGACACTTATGATGGCGATGAGGATGGGAGCAGAAGGGAGAACATCATGGTGCCACCACGATGATGACGAATATGATGATGAAGAGGATGTTGTTGTTGATGATGCTGTTGATGTTTCTGATGGCGATGTTGTTGTTGATGATGATGATGGTGATGTTGATCACCATCACTAGCATTATCATCATGTTTTCCCTGAGTGGTGATTGTCGTCGCGGCAGTATTCGCGATCGTCGGTTGACTGCTTCTGGCTACCAGGTGGCCTGCTCCGATCAGCTCAGCCACGAGGTGCACCGTCATCGTCCTTTTCTGTAGTTGGTGTCTTCCCTTGTCCATCCATGCACACAAGGTGTCGCAATGCGCGGAGTTTTACCGGACACCCAATACGGAGTCGCCAGCAGCCCTCACGCGGGCAACACCTGTGATGGCATTATGGTCCGCGCTTCGTTCGCATTTAGCAATTAATCTCGGCCTAGCGCTGGTTTATAAGTTTACAGTCATGTTTTCATGCCGTGGGTCATTCTAGTCTGGTTGTGGTGGTTGTTGCCATGGGTTCGAGCACATTCTGCGATACTGCAGCTCAACTTGAGCGTAGAGGGTATCGCGACTGCGTCTGACTGCCAATGACTGCCAGCCAAGGTACATCTGACGAAGGCCGGCGAGTCAGTCTGTATTCTTGATTCATTGTTGTGAACTTTTGGCAGTGTTTTGTCGGTTAGCTATTTTCCCGTTTCGTTAGATGATGTACGGATGCGGTGGGGCCATGAACAGGGGCATTGCTTCTGCATGAATTCAGGGGAATTCAGCTGACCGACCGATCTACCGAAGCATGAACATTCTGAGGATCGAGCATGGATGCATGATGCACGGTTTGAGGTATGGAAGCTGCGACCTGTGAAAAGTATGTTACGTCTTTGGTATTTGAGGTCTCAACAGTGACAGCAGCTGTGATTGCAGTATGAAAAGTATGAGGTGTCTCACGGACGCCCCCGTGTGGCAACACCAGGCCGAACAAACAACAGAGGACACCGACAAATGCTGGACATGCACATCCCGCGATATCCTGAAGTTCCAGCTGCACGAATGCTGAAACGATTGCATCTGACTTACTTCAATCACAAGAACCAACTGTCAAACAAAAGCTGAGCCCGGTTGCTTCGCAAGTCCTGCGTGGCGTAGCCTTGGCCATTTGGTGGCGGCAGCCTCTTCGAAAACGCGAGCAGGTGGCATGTGGAAATGGCCACTGTGCAGCTGCCGACCGCAGTGGCAACCTCTTCGCCTTTGGTCGCGCCCTGGCGCGCCCGGACCTGGAGGCCAAAGGGTGGTGGTGTGGTCCGGTTTGAGCTTTCTGGGGCCTCATCAGGGATTGTGAGTTTCTAATGTACCGTCTTGACAGTCTGACCTGCAGCAGTCTTTTGCCGCAGCTGGTATGGCGGCTACTGCTGACCCCACCTACCAGGTCCACATGCTTGCTGCATACACGCAACAATTGTAGCAATGCGAGGTGTTCTGTCTTTATTCGCATCACTATGAGGAAATACACATCGATCGGCATCCACACTGAAGAGCATAATATCGAAACTGGGATATCTACTGAAGAAAGATCAACCGGCAGAGCTTCCACACTTAGCCCTGCTTAGTCAAGTCATAAATGAGCTTTCAATGCAAGAGAGGTACACGTACCAGGTGCCTTGGTTAAGCCTCCTGGGAATCACTGACATCCTCACGAAGAAGCTGCAGCAGGCCCTTGGCACAACGGCCTGGCGGCGCCCACGCAAGGCCGGCCCGGAAGTGGACGGGTTGGAGGCTTTGGAGAGGACCATTCCCTCTAAACCTGATCCCACATCCCGAAACCGAGATTGAAGCCTCTATCTCTTTTCTGAAGTTCCTATGTGCACTACCATAAACATTGCGATCGTCGTCGTCATGGTTATCACGCCCTCGTACTAATCCTCACACTGATTATGGTGGTGATGATGGTGCTTGATGACGACGACGACGACGACGATGGCTGTGATGATGATGATGATGGTTATGGTGTTATATTGATGATGATGACCGCTATGGCCGTGGTGACTCCAATGACGATCACAGGCGAAGTGTCAAGCTACTTCGACTTGTCCACGGCATTCAGACCTGACCTTGAGGTGGTGAGCATTTCAGACGCGGAGGATGTCGCAGCTGGAGACGCCCAGATGGCATTTGAGTAGTGTCTAAATATCCCCAGACTGCTCAGCTCAGAATGAGGCAGGTGCTCAGTGTCACCAGTTGCACCTTGCGGTGCAGACCTCATAAGGTGAGACTTTGTGATTGCTCTCGAATTCAAGATCGGTGCTTTGCATAGATATCGCCCGTCGAGTTAAGAAGTGGGGCCTTGGTCGAAGGCGAACTGTGGTGGTGATGATGATGTCACCTTGTGCGGTAGGGATGCTTCTGTGCTTCACTATATTTCTTGCGCTGTTTCTGGATGCTCTTGGTAGATGAGCCGCTCAGGCCATGACTTTTGTATTGCTGAGCTGTCCGTTTGTGTGGCATGCAGCTAAAGCCATGAGGGTATTCCGAATGTTCTGACGCATGGTAAAACCCTCAATCCTATCCTCAGATCGAAGCCGAGCCGTACTACTGGGAAGCTGCTAAGTCTTGGAGACGCTTGCACTCTCGAGAAGAGCGAGTTCCTTCCGATAACGCTGAATCCTGATCCGCTAGGACCCAAGCCTTAAAACCTGCAGCTCTTGCTTTCAAGAAGTTCCGCAAGGACAGCCACATTGCCGTCGTGTGCCGGGATGGCGGCACGCGTTTCGGCAGAAATTTCTCGGAGAGCTCCCAGCTTTTTCCCAAACGAAGCCGTTTATGGTACCGGGGTCAGAAGGTTCCGGATTTTGACGCTTTTAGGCTTCAGGGGTTTCAGGTCCTGGCCTAGTCTTCGGGCGGCGAGCGTCCAGAAGGGTATCGCTACCACTGGAAGTCTATGTTCTGCCCAAGCCCTCTGCAATAGGCGACCCCATCCCAAGAATTCCTCAATCTAACCCTGAACTTTAGGACTTGAGTCCCTAGAAACCGGATCCCAAACAAAGCCCAAGCCCTCAAATCTCAGATACCTTTGGGGCGAGAATGTCCATGGCCAGTGCGCCCGGGATCCCGTGGGTCCAGGCACCGGCGCTTGAGAGAAGGGGCTGTGCACGGCACAGACAGTTCGGGAGGTCAAGGCGGTCTCATTTTCTATCCCTAAAAGCTGTATTTGAGTGTTCAAGGCTCTAAGAACAAGGGCGGCAAAGAGAGAGGAGCGCCAGTGGTAGTAAAGGTACCGATGGGAGTCTTGCTCTGAACATGACTATTGCTCTTGTTTTTTGTTTTTGGGGAGAGCTTTAGGAGTCTCAGCAGAACCCGGAACCACCAAGCCGCAAGCGCCGAATCTAGTTTTAAACGTGAAACTGTTACCTTTGAAGGCCCTGTTACAGTCCCACAGGGGCTTGGGTTCAGCTTCCGTAGCTCATGCTTGTTTGATGGTCGCTCACGGAAGAGAAAAAGAAAAGAATAGAATACAAGCAAGGCTCCGGCCAGGATGGGATGCGGGCACAGGATCCCCAACGGTATAACGTGCACCTGAATGCTGAACCTGTCATCCCGTTTATCCAGCAAGCCTGCAAACGGCAAAAGAATCGACTCAACTCAAACACCCAACTTCCTTTCTCTCCTGTGAACTGTGAGCCCGACGGTGCTGGAAGGCCAAGAAAGCTTAAACAATTCAGTTACCCTTCCGATTCACCTACAATTGCTAATGCAATGCCATCACTATGGCCACCAGTATTGCTCGTCTTTCTATTGTGATTCATGTATGTATGACCTATGGTCATTACGTGGGGATGACTGCAATCATCATGATTGTGCAATTGTGCAGAGACCTCCAGCCGGCCCTCAACAGGCTTGCGAGGATCTCGTCACAGGAGCGGCGAGGCCACTGGCCCACATGGCCCACAAGGGAACAGGCATAAATTTGCATAAGAAGGCCTTAAGGGGCCTAAGCGACTAGTAGGGTCTGCGGCGGGTGGCAGGTTCCGACGCTTGGGGCGTCGTGTCAGAGGGCTTTCGGCTTCAGCTGTGAGGTTTAGTTATAGGGTGTGTTTCGCAAGCATAGGCTTCCGTGTTAAGAACCATAGCCGCGCACAAGGGAGGTTTCTCCACACGACACATGTGGGAGTTTCCGAAAATAGGGGTACCTTATTTTGGAGTCCTTATAATAAGGATCCTACTATTTGGGATACTACATTAGGGTCCCCTATATTCGGAAACTCCACATGTAGCCCCGGGAGTTTCTCTGCCCCTGTTCCAGGCCTTTGAGTTTGCAGCGACGAATCTAGACCCTCCATCTGCCCTCAATTAGACCCTAAATGCCCCTTATTTGGGACCATATACCCCTATTTGAGGGTACAAGGAGGGTCCTGGAATCTAGTTGTTATACAGCTTTGGACCATGATGCAGTTAGTCGCATTTTCCTTTGCAGGATGTTCAGCGCAGTCTCTGACATGCTTTTTCTTCCAGCATGCCCAAGGGATTTCAGGATCTAGGGCGATAGGGCAATGTGCAACTCGAGGTGCCTCATTTGGTGCCGAGCCCGGCGCGTGCGGGCTTCGCTTTAGCCACATGCGATGCTCGCCGGGTGGCTTGTGGCAGGCGGGGATCAACAAGCGGGACGCATGTATTGTACATCACGTTTAGGATAAAGACTGGATACGTGCAAATGCGATCTGCAGCGCTGCGATGCTCATAACACCTCTACTCCGGCTGAGTTTGGATGACCGCTCATGTTTGGATCCAGGGCGATTGGCTCATGTCTGCAATGATGGTATAATGGCATTCAGCCGCCGGCAAGGGGGTTTAGACTCAGCATCTTCATCACCACCGCTGCTACGTTTAGACTGTGCACCAATGATTTCAGTCAGATTGGAGATCCAGGGCTTTCCCAGGTTTCCCGGCGACGTTGAAGGACAGACGGGGTGAAGACTTGCAGCTACTCTGCGGAGTGAGACGACGGCTAGAAACCAGCAGCCGTGTGAGGTATCACACTGCAGTGCTGAGCTCTTACGGCCGTCGCCTCAGCCAGCACAGGTTCCGAGATGCGATGTGAGGCCAAGCTCACGCGTCTGAGTCTGTGTGTTTCGCGGCGTGTTCATGCAGCCCGGCTTCTGCTGTTGCTGGTGGTCGCGGTGATGTTGCTGTTGGTGATAATGCAGATTGCTGGGATGTCGATGACGATCATGTTGGTGACCATCATGAGGCTGGTACTGATGATGGACATGATCTGGTCTCGTGACGCGGGCCCGGGCACTGTTGATCCCTGGTAGCGGAAGTGGGCAGATTGTGAGGACCTTTGCTCAGGGTACTTTCGTGCACCGTTCTAACGCCCTCGAGCTTGCAACGCTCTTACTCCCACCCTCAATCCCTCAGCAAACTCTGGAACCGAAGTCACACACTCTCCTCCGCACTGCTATAGAGCGACGGAGAGTCTTCGTTGTCACGGGTTCCAGGGCATTAGCCTTCTATATTATACGTAGTATAGCACATCACAGTCTATCATGGTATATAGTACCTCTATGATCGTATCTTAGACTACATTCCTGAACATCCGGGAGGCCGCTTGGTGACCTTCGGCGATGGCCTCTCGGGCCAGCTGGGTCGGCCGGCTGCGCCGGGAGAAGGCGACCCGGGATGAAGGGGCGGCGGGTCTTGGTTCCCAGAGACTCCAATATCCCTGCATTAAGGACTATACCTTAAATCATAGTAGGATCCCTAAGATGATTTTAAGGTATATTCCTTACTTAAGGGATATGGGAGTCTCTGGCTTCTCTAGAGTGGCCGCTGAGTACGGCTGCAGCGACAAATGGTCAGGACCACATTCGTAAACACAGAAATATTCACAACAAAAGCAGTGGTTTTGGCCTGCTATCACTAGCGACGGAGAGCCAAGTAAGAACAAAGACTACATGCCAGCAGCAGCCAGAACACCACTCACGACAGCAGGCACCATCACAACTATGCCAGCGGTGACAACGGTGTCAACACAACAGTAACACTGTTGGCTGATGCACGGCTTGCTAAGAGGTTTGAGTGGTGTAGCTTCGGTATACAGCGGATCCATCAGGTGAAGGTGTCTTCGGGTATTCTAAGTCCTGCTGCAGATGCCGAAGCTTGGGAGATCCTATGCCGAGCCATGAACCACGACCACCCCAGCTTTCAGCCGGAGGCTGGAAACCCGCGGAACTCGACTGGAGCGGCGCTGTCTCTGAGCGGGTGGTACAGGACGGATCCTTTTCAGAGGCGTTACGGTCTTGTTCCAGCGTTCCGATGTTTTTGGTACATCGCTTCGGTGCTTGAAAACTGCGAGCCTGAAATGATCCAGCGCGCAATGGGTGCCCCAGATCTTAAGTTGATGGGCCGGAAACGAGGTCGGGACCAATGGTAGTCCAGGTTGAGGGGCTTGTGGCTTTAGACATCTCAGCAGGTCGCGTGTGGAGACGACCACACAGTCTGCCTTACGGAGATGGGCCAGGTCTTGGCGTTTGGCAGTGGCCGGGTGACCCGGGTGGGTGTTTGCATTTGCAGGGCTTAAGGCTTAAGCCATTCAGTATACAGTGTAGACTCGCAGACAGGGTAGGCATCAAGTTCAAGGTCGCAGGTGTAGGCTTTCCTCCGAGTCTAGGCCAAAAGGGCACAGCTGCTCATCGAATCTCCGAACCAACACGCCCAAGGATACGGCAGCGGAAGGTTTGCATCCCGAAAATCCGAAGCTCCTCAACTTGAGAGACGTCGTTGTCTAGTTATTAGTAGTATAGTTACTCTGATTATGACTCCTGATGATGATGATGACTATTATTCTGACCATGATTGGTCAGGGATCTTCGGGTTGACGAGCCCTGGAGTGTTCTTCGATGCGTCAATCACGGAAGCCCTTGCTTTGGGTCCTGCCGGGTAGTGCTATTGAAAAGTTCCCGCCTGTTGCAGGGCAAAAAGCCCACAAGGCTGTTATTCAGTTACCCAGAATAAGGAATATGCCATAATTCCGGGGTCCTTAAGGTAAGGCAGGGTTTGAATCATCCGGATTTTCCCTTTCAAGTTTTAATCGAGTTAGGAGTCTCCTAGTTCGCCTTCTTTGCTCACGCGTGACTTCCTTCTCGATTCTAGGCGTTCCCAAAGTTTGTGCCAAACTTGAGAACGAAGGCGGCTGTGCGGAGATCGTGTTGAAGAAAGTCACTTAGTGTCGTCTCGAGGCTGGTGCCTCATGAGAGATCCCAGGCCCAGGACTTCAGGGAATACTTCAGGGGCTATCCGACCGCCCTGGAACCCTGAACGTTCCGTGCATTGGCCGCCATGTCCCAGAAACCTGAATGCCCAGGCGAACAGGGTCAACTCTGCACCGGAGGCCCGCTTCTCAGGCTTCAGTCGCTCATGGGCCTTCTTACTACGGACTACCATTCGGATCTAAGCTTTGGCCTAGTCTGCTTCAGTCGAATCAAAACGCAGCAGGTTGCCGCAACTATCGGCTCCCGACACTGATCCGATCACTCGCTGACGTGCGCGAGGTCGCGTTGGGTCAGGTAGCGCAATTGACGGATTTGTCAGATCAGAACGCGGGCCACCTCCATGTTCCACAGGGCTTCCGGTTCAAAGCTGCTTGTCAAGTCCTTTTTGTCTTTTGTTTTGGCTGGTGTCGTCACTCGGGATTGCCCAGATCCCCCGAACCTCAAGCATTGCATGCAGCCAGTTCGGTGCAGGTGGTGGCCGGAGCGAACTGGACTTTGCTCCGCTGTGCAGACGAGAAGGCATATTGCCGCGACGACTAGCCTTCCTTCAACTACCGTGATCGTGAACCCGGAGCCCTAGGCCTCCAACTCCAAATCCCCGAGACGAAGGTGCCCGTAGGATCGAGAGGGCGACACAAGGAGTTTCCACTTCCTGGTTGCAAAGCACTCACCCCAAGGATGAGAATAATCATATCCCAGATAAGCTTTATAGTACTCCCTATCGTTGGTGGTGGAGGTGGTGGAGGTGGTGGTGGCAGTAACGGCAGCATCAGCAGTAGCAGCCGTACATTGATAGCCGTTGGTGATAGCATGTGATAGCTATTACGGTCATATTCACATGCCACTCACGGCAACTGCAGTCGTCACACTGGTCGGTGGCAGTCGCAGGCGCAGGCACAGTAGCAATCTGCTTATGACTTATTATTACCAAGTAGAAGAAGAAGCACAAGACCCGTAAGTAATAGGCATAGGTGCAGTTCATCAGCGATGAGTCTTCATATAGCGTGGCAAACTGCAGGACGGCCTTAAGGGCAGGAAAAGTATTGACGAGTCAGAATCGCATTTCAAGATCCTCCGGTTACTGTGCCTTCCGTGCTGCGTCCTGTGCTTTCAGATACTATGCAGGGGCACCTTCCATACTCTGTGCCGCCTTCTTCCTGAAGGGCAAACACAAGGTGCCCGAGGTCGGGATTCATGTGAATGTGACCGGCAGCGCAGGTCTTCCTTGCTGGCCGGTTGGTTCCTCGCGGAGGCACGGGACTGCGATGAGGCTTCAGTGTAAGGCGATTCGAACCAAGGCGATGATTCGGGAAGCCTTGATACAGAAGCGGATGAGCTCAGCCAGGATCTGCAGAGCAAGTGGAGTGTACCACTTGTGCTTCGGGCTTTCTTCTGTCCCCACACCGCTTTTCAAACTCCGACATCCGAATCACCCAATGGCTCCGAGCCGGAAGCTATCTCAACGATCCTGTGACAGGGCGGAGGCCAGATGGCCAGGAGGCCATGAGAGTCGCTCCTTCTTTTTGCTCATGTCCTTCGTTGACTTACGGATTTTTCGACGTGTTTAGGTCGGAGTATGGTTGGATTGAATGTTCAGACGCGAAATCCTCGCAGCGTCTGTCTCCGGTATGTGCGCGGCTTGTTCAAGCTCAGACTGAATTGATCGGTAGAACTGCTGTACCGTACAGGGGCTAGAAGCGGATATTACCGCTCTTGATCGGTATATGCTTCGAAGCTGCCAGAGAATCATAGCCGATTCGCGAGGTCTGCGAGGCTGACCAGGATCACCGATTGCTGAGGCAGGTCGGAATTGCCTGGGGGTTTGTGCCCCTTTGCCTTGAATCCCTAAACAGTGCTGAAGCTGCGCAAGCTGCAGGCCAAATAAGAGACCATGAAGTGTTTTGGTATTGCAGCTTTAAAGGCGAGCCACTCCTCGTCCGGATGTTGTGCTCAAGGAAGCCGTAATCAGGAACCCGCCCTCCTCCGCCTCCACCCTCCAAGCCCTGCCATGGGAGAGGCAAATTGTGGCGCCCGCCTGCGCCGGCTTCTGAGGACTTGCTGTTTTCTCATGAAGGGGTTCTTCTTGCGGAAGGCCCCATTTCGGACTCGGGAATGGGCCGTTTGTGCCGGTGGCCTAGCTTGCATTTCACTGTTCTTGTTCGGGTACACGGCGGGCTGACAGTGTATGTGCGCAAAGATTTCAGATTATACTTATCAGAAATGAACTTTCTGTTTGCTCGAAGCCTTCAATAGCCCGAGAAGGTGTCGAGAGTAAATGTTGTCCTCTGTGCAGTGTTGCCGGCAGGAAGGGGCTGCTCAGCAGCACTGTTTCGTCTCTGAGCCCATTACGAAGCATGTGTACAAGTAGATACGCAAGTAGATGGAAAGATCAAATCATGTAGGGTCAGTGAGGCTTCTAGCTAACAGATTCTGTGTGGATTAGTGCCTCCATGATCGTGGAATTGGGTAGTCACCCGAGTCTCACGAGGTAGCACGCGAGAGGGGGGGAACCTGCTGGTCTGCTGGTAAAACCAGCAGCTACTGGTGGTCTCCACAGGCTGCGGATGCGGCCTTTAGGTTTAGGTCTGCAGGAAAAGACTTCCTGCAGTGTTTAGTGCCAAAGATTGGCCGCTACAATAGCTCGAAGACTGTAGGACAGCCGCTGCGAACTTCGCAGCCGGATAGTGCCATGGGGCCATCTCAGTCCGGAAGGGTCTGAGGCTGTGACCATGTTGATCATGTTGACATAGTGCACACGCTGCAGGACGTGCTGTTGCACGCGTGCACGCAGAAAGTCTCGTTCGACTCATCATGCATACTCGCAGGCTCGCAGGGCTTCAGGGCTCAGGTTTGCGTCGAAGGTTGGGGGAGCTGTGGGCCATGGGCTTCCTCATGTGGCACGCTTCTGGTGAAGGAGTCTAACGAAGTTGAAAGCTTTTGTGTGGCCGTACATCATGCGCAGATGCTGTTCTAAGGCTCAAGCACGCCTGTTGTCAGACAAATCGTGCTTGTCATCCAAACAGCATTTGATTCCAACTGTTTCTACAGCTATACCGACATGCCTGTAGGAAAAATTGATGATGAGCGACGAAGCTTTCCTACTCCTGGCTCACGAAATTACAGTAGATATTCCCCTGAGCAACATCCTGATGCCTCCAACTTCGATTTCAGTTAGTGATGCTCAAGAGATCACGGGGGCAATTTCTGAAGCAGTACTAGGACAGGACCGTCCAAACCCGAAAAGGATTCCATGCAGTCTGCGAGGGTTGGCACTGCCGGAAGTGGCATGTAATCATGGTTTTGTCAATTTGTCCGTCAAGTTGAGTTTTGAACCCTAAAACCCTAAACGATGTCGTGCGGAAGTCCGCAGTCGTTTCTTTCCTCAGTCCGCAGAGCGTGGCTCACATGTAAACCCGGAAGCAGATCCAGACACATTATTGATAGTTAAAATTATACATTGCCTCTAAACTGATCCCTAATATGTGCCAGACAAAGTATGGGGGCTTAGGGCTCGGTTAGGGCGGTTACATGTGTTTGTCGGCTTCAGCTTGTCAGAGGCAGCGTCGCATCCGCGATCTTTCGAGCCCGGAGCACCCGAAAGGGCTGAGCTAGACCAGTGACTGATACTTGTAGAGACTCCATATCCAATAATGAAGGAATATACCTTAAGCCATATTAGGGATCCTACTATAATTTAAGGTATATTCCTTAGTTAAGGGATATTGGAGTCTCTGAGCTTGTAGGTTCTTGTAGGCAGCCGTTCTGGCAAAACCTTGCGGGCGGCAATGGACAGTGGCTATGTCCGGGCCACAGGCTTGCAATCGCAGCCGATCTCGGAACCCAGCTGCCCTTGAAGCTAAGCTTCCGGAATGTGACCTAAAGACTTGCATTGATAGCATTCAGACCAGATCTCTTGCCTTGGGGCCCGTGTATAAAGACCCTTCCCTGAAGCCTATGGGCAAGGTGCCGGGAGAGGAGATCTCCGGCGACATTCCCGTCACGGTATTTCTGACCCAGTTGCTGTGGTGTTTTGGGGCTTTCGCCAGAGACTCTACTACATCAGCCTCGGGCCGGGTAGGCATTCGACGTCATCATGTTGAGGGCGGGCAGCAGAAAAGTTATGGTCCATTGGCCTCAACGGTGATTTCAGAATTCCGACTACGAGTTGCTGACGTGCAACCTTGATATTCAACGCAGAAGGACTTCACAACAGTTCTCAAGTGAGGCGCATCGTGTACTGCAGCCTGTCATAACGTATCAGAACGTGCAGCACGCTCGTCCGTCACAAGGTCTCTTTTCAGGCGAGGACCACTCTATGCTGTGATACAGGTGCCGGTATTCAGATATGCAGGTAGGCGTGCATGCATGTCGGCATATCTGGACGTGCGTATACATGTATGGATGCATGCATCTCGCTCTCTCTCTCTCTCTCTCTCTCTCTCTCTCTCTGTGCTCGTATATCTGCATGTGTGTTTGTGTGTCCAGGTATGTATGTAATTATGTATGTATGTACGTATGTATGCATGTATGTATGGTGTTTGTGATGATGATGATGTTGTTGTTGCTGTTGCTGCTGCTGCTTCTGATGGTGGTGATGGTGGTGATGATGGTGGTGGTGGTGGTGGTGGTGGTCGGATTTCAGTGTTGGTGTAAGTGTAGTTTCTGCCGTGCTGCTGTACCTGCACCTGTTGCTGCGGGTGCGATATCTTATGCTTCTTAGTTGTGCTACAATCTGCCCTATCGCCCACAAGCAGCCTTTGGCAGCGCGTGGCCGTTGCTTGCGCCGTGATTCTACTTGAGGCCGCACTGGAGTGCAGTGCAAGCCTGTTCTGGTGTGGTTTTATCTTGAGTTTTGAAGGAGTGCAGTGTTAGGTTGTGTGATCACGACCTACTAGCTTGATTCGCTTGATGTTTGGCACACTGGACGGATAATATGTCAGAGTCGATGAATTCGGGCTTTCGCATGTGTTTGTGTGTGTGTCTGCATGCTGTTCCAGTCTGGGGAGTATCTGCATGGAAGAGAGATGCTGCCTTGATGGATCATAAGATTCGCCAAGCGCCTCAGTCGTGCACAAGAAATGTCGCATGCAATCGCAGTCGGTCGTGGCGATTTACCTTGAGCCGGAGCCCTAGCGGACCAGTGCATGCCTCCCGGCAGAGCGACAAACACTTAGTTTATTGGTTCGGCGGCAATTGAGTACTTGAGTTATTAGGTGTACAAGAAGAGTGTTCGTTGTACAAGAACAGTCACGGGGGTGCCAAACGCAAGCCAAGCCAAGCTGTGATCCTGTTTGAGGCTTGGCAACGCCGATCAGCTGCTGATTTCGGGCGTCCGGGGCCCGGCAGAGAACAGTAACGTAGGGGCCTTGAATTAGAATGGTTGTGGGTTATCTTATACTATAAGCATAATAAGGAACCCTTCCAAAATCCTAAGTATTTAGGCCCCTACATGACATCTGCGGCCCCCTCCCGGGTTCGATGGCTGTCATCGGCTCAAGTACACCCCTATGTTTGTGTTCCATGCTCTGCAGCCGAGATCGTCTCAATTCTGGGTCCTGTCACACTTTGGAGCATTCTTGCGAGTTTGAATCAGGCATTTCTTCCTGCCACAGCTTGGCAACATGGGGATGCTCTTGCCGCAACACTGTGGCGCAATCTGGACCTGTCAGCGCACCATTCATGAGGTCAGATGCTATGTCCAGCTGACGAGCGTGGGGCCCAACCGCAGAGATTTCAGAATGATCCCAAGCATCGGGCGCTCTGAAGCTCCAAAGCCTGCAAACCTAGCAATGCCTCTTTAAACGCGAATCCCTTTCAGCTTCCGGATCAGCTTGCCAGCCGAAATAAATCATGAAAAACTTCTCGGTGGATGTTCAGATTCGATGAGTCCGAGCGAACTCCACACCGACTCCAAAGTGGGGATGGTGATGATGATGATGATGATGTGGTGATGATGATAATGATGACGACCTTGGTTATGGAGGAAAGATTGCGGGCAGGTTAGGCCGCAATGATGATGACGACCGTGCTGACGACAGCCCACACCTCTGAATGCAGCAGGGGTTGAAGTTACCTTAGGAAGCCTGCATTTGCTGTTGAGTCTTGCTCATGGCTTGTGTGCACACGAGATTGATGTTTCTTCAAGCTAGTCTTTGGCAATCTGCAAGCCAGCAAAACCGAGCCGATGTCAGCCCTCGTTATACTGAGTCCTTGGTTTCATCCTCGCGCCGATTTTCGCCGCTCAGAATGCCGTGTGCCTCGGCCAATTTGAGATGCATGCTGGATCCTTGCCTTCAGCCTTCGTAGCTTGCCCGGACCTGCATGCTTATGGACATTCCCTGGCCAGCAGCGTAGACACACAGCGAACAAGAAGACTGTAGTGGATTCCACGAGTGGAAGCGATGGGGAGAAAGGAACCCATCATGGGATGGAAGAAAAGAGAGAGAAGAGCCCCGACATTTTTGAGTTTTCTATGTAGATCGAACTAGCAACAACCTCTGGAGCAAAAGAGTCGACTTTGCCGGTTTAAGGCTGGTCCTGGCCTACGTCTTCCTGCTCCTTGGATCGGGTTTACTGTCATCACGGTACAGGGGTTTCGGGTTGTAGGCGGGGAGGAGCAAGCCACGGTTTAGGGTTTGGAAGTTTAGGGTTTTGGCATCTCAACTCAGAAAAGACTCAAGCCCGAAACCTCAAGCCTCCAAAGCACGAGAGCGAGCACAGGTTCATGGTGGTCGTCTCGGCCAACGAGGCAGCAGCAAGACCCAAGGCGCCCATAAGACCGAGAGTAAAGTTGTGGATGAGTTTAATCGAAAAGAGGTTGAGCAGTCTGCCGTGTAAGTCGAGTTGTAGGGCAGTTCTGAACTTTCTCAAAGTGAAAAGTGAAGCCTGGGAGCCCCGGTGTCAGGTCACCTATCCAGGCATCTTCTGGAAGGCAGCCATCAGCCTTGGTGCGCGGCCTCAAGCTTTGGGTCAGCTCCGTTGTCTGTGGTGCTTTCAAAGGCTATCCTTTGGGCTTCGAGGTTAGTTTGGTCCGGAACTGCTATGAATTACGAGGATCTGTGGACGAATCGGGCCAGACTTGTCCTGAGGCCTGAACCGGGCAATGTTTATCATGGTAAGCCCACCAGAACTGCACTTATCATCATGGTAATCATCAGCTTACGCGGCAGGTGAGACAGATGTAAACTTCCTCAACACTCGGAGAGCCCCGTTTTGCATCGGCAATTTTAGTCAAGCTTCTGCATCTGCGATCCATGCGCTCAGCCAGCTAGACCGTAAGCTTGAAACCGGTCGTGCTCCGATGGAGGTTCCGGCCTGCTCTTCAATGGGTTCGTGCTTCTCTGCATCGTGGAACCGGATCGGCCTCTGCAGAGTGCGGTTCTTTCCGGTTGCTTCTTCCCGGGCTCCTAGGTTCAAAGCTTACTGAGCGTGTTCAGAGGAAGGCGTCGAGGAGCCTTTCGACAGAAAGTCTGGACGACAGTCCCGACTGCAATGTGAGGATCCGTGGTACGATGCACAGTACGTCATCCCGTTGGCGGCGTGCCAGACATGTTTGGTTGATGGAGCATGTTGCTGTTGCCTGTTCAAGCCCTGCTAGGTGCTAGAAATAGTATTACTAGTAGCACGTCATCTGAAACTCAGCACATCGAAGAATGCTGCGATTATCGTTGCCTCATTGGTGCAGCCCATTTGGGACTTGGCGATATATACGTTGGAGAAGACTGGTAGTTGTGAGGTTTCTGGCCATTCCGGCCAAGTGCCCTACAATGTTGTTGGATCTCTTGGCCTGATTCAGGATCTTTGTGTTTTTATCCCTCCGTATGTCGTCCCTTACACCAATCTGTCTGGTTTTTTTTCGAAACTCCGGCGCTGTCCAAGCTGTCACTGGTGCCAGGGCATGCTGATCAACAACTCGCTAACGGGCACAGCGCTGGCCCTGAACGCGATGATTGACTACCTCTACACCAACAAAGAGCAGGCTCTTCTGAATCGATTTAGGGATGGCGGGGAGCGGGGCTTGGGGTCTTTGAGTTAAAAGGCTGCGGCCTTTCCTTGTTACGTTCACATCCACAGTTCGGGTTCGGGTTAGACTTGGTGTTGATCATCTTGGCAGGAGCTTACCAGTAGCTTACCAAATTTGGGTGCGTCTCCATATGCCGAATTCAAGCTTGAGGGCTGACGCATGAGCTCAAGCCTTAACCCTGTCTCCCCGACCCTGATATCGCATAGCCACAGTAAGGCTGCATGAGAGCCGTTGGCTGCTTGTTTGATATTTACCGCCGAATGGGTCGCTCAAGTCCGGTTTAACCTGTTTTTCTCGGCTTTACGGATGTGACTGCAGTGTAGTGCGTCGTAGTACAAGCAAACCTTGCTTTCTGTTTGCTTCCTCGGAGCCCCAGTATTGCGCTCATAGCCTATACTATGTAGGGGGTGCCTTGTTATAATCAAAGAAGAGAAAAACTAAGGTTCAAATCAAATTTAGATCTCACCCCGGAGCCGAAAGAAGCGAACGCCCCGAGCTTCTCCTGCAGGGCCAGAGCAGGAAACCTAAAAATAGGAATTCTAAACCCTAAAACCGGAGCCCTAAACTCTATAGGGTTTCGGGTCGTTTAGGGTTTAGGGTCTATCCTCTATGCCAATTGTTGCAAGGAGGAAACGGGCCCGCAAAAAAAATCTAAACTTTAAACCTTCAGGCGAAGCCCTTTAATAGCTTGACTGTGCCGAGGTGGAGGTGCTGCTGGCTTTTGGAGCTACGCCCCCTGCTCGGCGGACATTCCTTTATCGCGGACTCCATCAATACAATTACTACATGATTTTGGTTATTATTCCAGGTATGGTAGTCGTTCTGGTTATCAAAATTTACTGATAATTAATATCAGTACCATGACTATGATGGTGGTGCTGATATTATTGTTTTGTAAATGTTACTCTTGCTTGTTACATTGGTGTCGGGATGCAATTGAAGATAAGGGTTTTCATCGAAGCAAAGGCCATTCACAACAGCACGTACCAGGCACAAATCATGTCAAGCCAACGGATAATGCAGGCTGAGGGGCATCTAGGGGGCGTAGCTGCGGCTTTCTGCTCCCAGCTGAAGATTTCATTCCTAAACCCTAAACCCTAAATAAACTCTAAAGCCTTAACCCTAAACCCAGATTGCGCCCAAGAGTTGAAGAATGAAAGGAGGGCCAGGCCCAAGGCCGAGTCATGGCTTCCGACCCGAGGCCTTCAAAGTTGGACGCCCTCTTGGGTGCTGCATCTTTAAGGATGATGATGATGATGATTAATGCTACGATTATCTGCTGTTATCATCGCAGAAAGAACTACTACTACTACTACTACTACTACTACTACTACTGCTACTACTGCTACTACTGCTACAACTGCTGCTACTACTACTACTACTGCTACTCCGACTACTACTACTACTGCTACTACTACTACTACTACTACTACTACTACTACTACTATTACTACTACTACTACTACCACCAGTACTACTACTACGACGACTACGACTACTACTCCTGCTGCTGTTGCTGCTGCTGCTGCCGCAACTGCCACTAGGACACTGCACATCGTGGATTGTTATTCGTAATCTTACTATTGTGGTGATCATTATTGTCATCGTTTTGCTTGTTATTAGTCTCGCGATGATTAGCAATATTATTACCCCAAACCCTAAACACTAGACCCTAAACCCTAAACCCGAAGCCCTTAGCCCTTGAGCCCCTAAACCCGTAAACCCTAAACCCTTGTATTATCATGGCTACGACCCGAGGCCATGGGAGGCGGCATGGCCCGGCTTAGTCTGCGCCCTTGGGAAGACACACAAAACAATGAATGTCATATGGGTGGTTGCCAAAATTATGGTACCTTTTTGGGTCCCTAGTATAATATGCCATCTATTATTTAGGGTACCCAAAACGGCACCTTAGTTTTGACAACTCCCCAGATAAATACATACACAACTGCAAAAATGAGAATCGCATAAATAGTACAGATTTTCTGTACTTGATTGTTCAATGATAAAACCCATAGATAAACACATACGTAAATAAATGAATAATTCAACAACGCATGAAAAATGCACAAATACAGCAACAAGTACCTAACTCAATACATAGGTACTTCAATAAATATTTAGAAGTAAACAGATACATACATGAACGAATAAGCAGACAAAGAAGCACGTATGTCAACACATCAGCAGATAGATAGATAAACGGATCAGCAGGTTCGTAGATAGAAATCGACATGTAGGTATGGATGAAAAGATAAATGCACAAATCAAGTTCAAATCACATAAATCAACCCATGAATCAACACGTAGCTAAATTGATAAAAGGTCAAATGAATACACAAGTTTGTATGCATGCGTGGATGTATGTAAGCATGTATCGATGTACGTATGTATGTCTGTCTGTATGTTGGTATGATTGTTTGTCGGTACTTATGTATGTATGTATGTATGTACATGCAGATGGCAGTAGACACATGTGTATCTGCGTATCAATATAAACATGATTGTAACTACGCATTTGTATATCTGCAGATATGTATATGCATATATGCCTATGGCAGTATTAGCGTTACTGCTCTTATATACTTGTTAATAATCTGAAGATCCAGTTTTCTGGGTCGGGGAGTTTCGGGGCTCTGGGTTTCAGGGAGTCGGGTTGCTAGTTGTTGCTGGGTCGCGCATTGTGCTCCATCTCGACATCCACGTAGTCCTCCTCCTCCTCCTCCTCCTCGACATCCACGTCCTCGGCCTGGCCCTCCACGTTGTCTTCGTCATCCACCTCGACATCCACCTGCTCTTCCTCCACCTCGACATCCTCGTCGAACTCCTCGATATCGATATCGACCCACATCCACGGATTCCTGTACCGAGAAATCGGCCGGCGTGCCGATCGCACGATGGAAGAACGGCTTTGGCGTTTTAAGCCGTAAAGTGCTCTCCTCAAAATTGTCACTTCTGCTTGGGGCCGAAGGGCTTCACAACTCTTTGGATGCCACCGGCGCCCCATTCCCTGTATAAAGTGCGGGTGTGTGGTGTTCTTTCTTCTTTGTGTCCGTGGTTGGTCTTTTGCGTTTGAGTGTTCGCCTGCACATTCAAGCATGCAGTTGCCCTGCGCTTCAGCCATAATGGCGGTCATTCCTGTATTGCGTTCCGGCAGAAGGCTTTAGGTCCTCAAACATCGTCACAGGCTGTTCAGCCATTTCGCTGCACTCGATCCTGGAGTTTCGGAAACTGCGGGACGGTACTGGGACGGTAATGTAGCCCTTGAACTCCTCCATACTATAACGACCCCCCCCCCTTTCTGAGCAGGGATTCCTCATGTTCCAAACCCCTCCACAACCCTAAACCCTAAACCGGCCCTAAACCCTAAACCCTAAACTCAACTTATCCTCTCCACGACTCTGTGGCCCAAGCTGCTCAAGTTCCTGTCCCTCCCCCGGGGCCGATGTGGACGTCCTGAAACCTCGGAAGTGCGAGGACCGGCCCCGGCTCGCGGTTTCGGTTTTTGGGGGCTTTTGGGTTTAATGTACACAATGTAGGGGCCTTAAGAAGTAGAATAGGGTTTGGGGCTCCCTAATACTACAGGTATAGTCAGGAACCATGAGGATTACTGTTGGTCATTATTTAGGCTTCTACATTAAGTTTGGGGCTTCGGGGTTTCGTGTTTTGGGGGTCAGGAGTTGCGTCTCGGGGCTTAGGGCTTACAGGGCTTAGGGGCTTTGGAGCTTCAGCGTTGGTTGATGGAAGGTCTAGGTCTTCGGGCTATGTCAACATCGCAAGCCTTCGTCAGAAAACCTGACAAGCCCGAAGGCTGAAGGCTTTGCTGTATTTCGGAGGGACCCTGTAGCAGGCTCCTTGCCCGCCTGTCACAGCCGCCGGTTGTTTGATTCAAGATGTCGGGGCTTTCAGGTCTGATCATGTCTGGTTGTTTGGGATTGCGGGAGTTGGATCATGTGAAGCAGTGTTTCGGTCTACAAAGGAGCTTGAAGGGTTGTAGGGTTGATAAAGCTTCTCCCCTCTGGCGCAGGAAATCGGAGATGGACAAGGCGTCTTGCAAGTTGTCGTTGGGTGAAGGTGTACGGATCGGAGTGCAGCCTTGAGGGTCGAGGACTGGGCCTCCAAAGGTTTGAGGTTCTGAGTTAGCCCGAAGAAACCAACAGCCTTGCCCCATGCCTGGTAGGCTGGTGTGAGTCACCTACGGCTGATGATCTAAATCCTGCATTACCGTATTACCCTAAGGACCCGAAACTATGGGAATTATGGTGTATTCCTTATTATGGGTATTGCAGGATTTGTATCATCAACAGTAGTTCCAGCTTTGCTTCGAAGGCATCCCGACATGCGGGTTGGCGAAGTTGGCGAACCCGACATCTCCTGAGGCACCGGCGCTGGGTACTTGAGAGCAGCCGGAGAGAAGCGGAAGGGGTTGAGTCCAGAAGTCATCTGTCTGTATATTGTACTTCATGTTGTGGAGATGAAATCCCAGGGTCCCTTCGTGCCACAGTGAAAACTCCTTGAACTGCCTGGTGTCTTTTCTAGACGTGGGCTTTGTCTGCTGACCCTGTATACCGAAAGCTTGTGACTAGCCACAGAGGCTATTCGTGCATCTTGGAAAGTACTCAGTTGATTTCCTATCCAAACTGCGCTGGTGTCCAAGATGACCGCCACATCGCTGTTCCGCGGTGTTTCAGCTCTCCTTCAGCTTTTGATATGCAGGGGCTTGTTTTGTTTGTATGGGTGTCGAGGAATGTCATCATTACATTTCAAGCTGCGCAGTTTGCAGAGGCCCAGCAGACTACAAAAAGCCACGACATGGGGCCCTTAACCTTAAACCCTAAACCCTAAGATACCACGAGCCTGGAATGCGGCAGCTCTGAACCTTGCTGCTTCCTAAAACCCTAAGCCCTAAACCGCGGGAGAGGCCATAAAGGCCGTTAGCCTCAAACATCCCGAAACTCTACGACGCTCAGAGGCCTGCCGCTGCCGTGATCGGCCTGATGCTGTGGCCGGGACGGAGAAGTTGGGGGAGATTTCAGGAGTTTCCAAAAATCAGCGGTACCTAATTTTGGGGTCCTTATAACAAGGATCCTCCTATTTAGGATGCTATGTTAGGGTCCCCTATTCTCGGGAACTCCCACTTTAGGAGTTTAAGAGTTGGGGTGATTTGGGTTTCCTTCCAGGGTTCGGGCTCTGGAACTGTGCACGTCCCCGATATTGTGAGCCCTGTAGAAAGTTGTAGTTTCGTTGGGTTTTGGTATTCAGTCTGAGTATGTCTGAGTTGTGCGTTCAAATCGTCAAACGCGGTTTCCAGATTGTGCAGGGGCTTTGTATATTCTGCTCCAGGGCTGTCCCTCTCCGGATTCCTGTGACGTGCTTAGAGAAACTGCTAAAGGAACATTGACGCCCAAAATCCCCCTGTAGAACTACACATACATGAGTTCTGCTGCTACTCTTAATGAGCATTTCCTGTAGAGTAGTAGTTTTGTAGCAATATCGGTGTAGTCGCTGATGGGACATGCGAGCCCACAGCCTCGACACGTAGTACAGCAGTGGTCGTAGTCGTCGTCTATCGTCGTAGTCGTAGTCGTAGTCGTCGTAGTCGTAGTCGTCGTAGTCGTAGTCGTCGTCGTAGTAGTAGTAGTAGTAGTAGTAGTAGTAGTAGTAGTAGTAGTAGTAGTAGTAGTAGTACCATAGTGAAAGCCTCCATGGTCCTGACCGCAATGGCAATACGAATATTCATGATGATGTTTGCCTTGATGAGCAGAGATACAAGAATGATAGTTGCGAGCAGCTGGGAATCAGGAACATGATACTGTCATGTATACTAATGCATACGTTAAACTCATGTTACTCAAGATAACAGTAATGATGCACTCGCCATCTTCATCTTCGTCACCATCCAGCATAAGTCGAATGCTGTTGCAGCACCGAGGTGCTACCGCGCGGCAGATGCCTTCATCCAAGTAGTTTCCCCTATGCCAAGCCCTGAGAGGGTCTGCTAGATTTTGCAGTTTCAATCCTGCAGGGAGGACTCTGCAACTACGGCTGTTGAAGCCACAAGCGTGTTACAGAAAGTAGCCTTCGTGAAAGCAGCTCGTCGTCGTACCCTCAGTTGTGACGCCCGCAGCAGCGGCAATCAAGTAGCAGTGAGCAATATTGATGTAAGCCGATGATACACACTGCTCACCTATCGACGCAGTACTGTGGCCCCCGTTTCACTAAGGAGGGCACCGATGCTGCCTCGGACTGCGTTGGGCAGCCAGGGAGGTGACGATGCCCTCAAGGACGAGTGGCGCTTAAAGGCGCGATGTTGTCTTTGCAGCCTTGATGTGAAAACTTTCTCGGCGAGAAATGTGCAGTCTCAGTTTGAATGCGCTGAGGGAGGGTTGTTCTTCTCCTGATAGCGTGTGCGATGGCTCTTTGCGGACCAGACGTGCTCTGCATTCTGAATCCTATGCAGGTCTGTCAGAAGCTTGCATGCCCAGGCAGCACTGGCAATCCGTAAGAAGTCTAGGTGTTGAAGAACACCGCTATCACGAAATCCTGCTCCAGGAAGCAATGCTCAAATGGTGCCAATCGAATTGGCAAAGCTGCGGAAGCGGTAAATAAATATATATATATATATGTATAAGCTAGGAGCAGAAGAGAGGACTGTTAGCGAGGCTTTAGCTTACAGCGCTGAGAGGTGGCACATGCTGTGGACGTCCTGCAGGAGGATGCCGCTCCGTTTGGGTATATCAGAAACAGAAAATGTTCAATTTCCGCTACCAGGGCCTTCTTTCTCATTCATTGACTGCTTGGGCTTGAGCTCATGTGTCAGTGACTGGTTGGAACTCACTTGGTTTGCAATAGTCTTCATCTTTGTTGGGTCTTATCTCTCTTCATGGCGCCACATCTGAAGAAGTGACGATGACCACTACCCGGCCCAGCCTGTTGTTGAACCCCGAGCATTTGCGAGCTTCGGGGCACCCCGGCCCAGCACCCACGAAGCTAGACAGCTACTTTCTACAGACAGCCTCATGATCCCAAGACGTTGAAAACTGAGCCTCGGAGCGTCGAAGCTTGCGGAGGGGACTTGGCTTTGCATTGGGTGGCGCTTGGCTTACCTTGGGTTAGTAGGGAATGGAAGAATGGTAGTAGTAGTAGTTATAATTCTACCCCATTCCTTCCCTACTAACCAAAGGTAAGATGGGTAGTCGCTCCACCAGACTCAGGTTCCGCTGCTTTTCGCCAGCTACAACGGCATGGGAGGGCGCCTCCCTGACTTCTCCATATACAGTCACCTAGCGGAGCACATGCGGTTGTTTTTTGCTCGGCGACGCCGGGCTGAGTTGTGCAGGAAGAGCGATTTAGGTACAGGAGTGTCGAAGATGCAGCAGAGGCTGTCACTGAAGCAGGTAGGATGTTCTAACTCGACTTGACAGGTTCTGAGATCAACTTCGTGGATGAGAGGGCCCCGAGCTTTGTCCTGCACGGACTGCCCATGTACAGGAACTTCCTGTTAGCGCTGCGGTGGTCCCTCCGGTCAATGTTCGAGGAGAGTAAACTGGAGATCACCGCCATGGGCAAGACCCTTTCCGTCGACGGCAAGTTGTCCATGCGATGGCGCCTTCACTTGTGGCCGAAAGGGGTCATGTCTCATGCACTCGACTTTATGGCCCCGATACTCCAGGGCTGGGGCTTCCACCTCAGGGAGGAAACCCACCAGTGGGAGGCACCAGCCATAGTTGAGGGATATTCGAACTACGAGTTCGACCCATGGACAGCGCAGATCACAAAGCACACGGTGGACATAAAGAATCCGCCTCTCTTCATCACGGACCTCTTGCGGCAGTACTCTGTGAGCGAGGCGAAAACCGCATTGCCGTATGGGATCCCGCTGCGATTCCAGGCAGCCGAGGGTCCCGAAAGCTCGGCGTCACTGGCTGGTGCCACTCTGCGTGGGGAGTCGCGCCGTGGAGCTTCGACGATTGCACGTGCAGCGAAGGCCCGGTCGGTGAGGGGATGGATCTTCTCTGGACCCCTGCGTCCCACCGCGAGCTCAGCAATGCTGCGTCGAAGTGAGTCTGAGCGACACCGAAGGGATTGGGCTCATCAGTATATGCACCCAGCCCCAACCTGACCCTCCGAACTTGTAAAAGCACCCAACTTCAGATTCTTCATGCTCCATGCATCAAGACGAAACTCTTAGCGTTCGACAGCCAAGCGTGCAGCCCTGCGAACCAAGCACCCTCTGTTGCGAGGCCGAGGGCAAAGGTTGGCCCTTACCCCAGAGACTTGGTCAAACCTTGCAAAGACACTTTCTGGTTTTATAAGGACCCTTAGGGGGGTAGGGGGTAGGGGGCCTTAATACCTATAAGAAGGACTTGATAAGCCCCTATGATGGTTCTGGTTGAGGATTCGAGCAACATGACTGCCCAAGGCATCCGGGTGACAATTTTTTGTGCCAGCGGCCAGTGAAGTAGTATGCAATGCAGGCGGAAGTAACTGACTTGCTAGTTCTCTAGCCAAAACTTACATAGTACATTAGTCAATTAGTTAATTGGTTCAGTAATATATGTACGGTTTATGTGCGCATATGCATACGTACGTGCATATTATGTAGGTCTGTATGTTCGTATGTCTACGTTTTTAATGTAACCCGTGTGCCCACACGGGCAAACCTCCGTGCGCCTGTATGCAAGTAAGTGTGCGTACGCATTGAGGCATGCATGTATGTGATGCATGAGATTCACATACTCCATGCAATGCATGTGTGGAGTTATGGATGTATGGATATACGGATGTACGCATGTATGTAGGTATGTATGTATGTATGTAACGGCGGTAACGCATGCATGCACGCTGGTACGGATGTACGGATGCCTGCCTGCCTGCATGCCCGCATGCAGGAGAAGAAGCAGGAGCAGGCATAGAGTAGGAGCAGGAGCATCAGCAGCAGCCGCAGGAGGAGCAGGATGTCGGAGTCGGAGTGGGATGATGATGATGATGATGATGATGATGATGATGATGATATTGATGATGATGATGATGATGGTTCATGAAGATGATTCATGTTGATGGTAGCGCAGTTTGTTTGTATTCGATAGGCAACTTGAACTTGTTTTTGTCTTTTCGACTTCTGAGGTTCGGACTGTAGTTGTCGTGCTGATTTGTGAGAGCAACCCAGGAGCTGCGAAGATGACTTCGAGTGCAACGGAGGCACTGCAAACTTTCCGCTTCAGTGCTGTGGCCCTGCTGAATTGGACTTGGAACTTGGGGGGAGCAGGGAATGTGCTTCGATGGTTAGCGACAGATTTTGATATCCTCCTGAGCTTTTTGTCACCCACGCCCCGCAGTCGTAGCCAAGAGTGCCAGGACCAAAAAATGGCCAAACCATGCCACAGCAACCACCTCTCCACCCATCTCCAATCCACACGTGCTAGGTGAGCTGCCCCTGTTGGGCAAGTTCTGCTGCAAGCCGCCAGACGACGACGTGCAGCCGAATTCCAAGGATCCAGCTTGGCTGCCCCTGCCAGTTCCTTCTGACCCTTGGCAGGTGTGAGTCCTGCTTGCAAACAGGAGTCTCGAGACTATAGCATCCATCCAGCTCACAACAAGCAGAACAGTCGCAGGCATAGCAACTGCCAGGGACCGTCGAGAACTCTTCAAGAGTTCGAGATGGCTCACCCCTTTGAGATTTTCCCGGTGGCCATCATGAATGAATCATACCATGCATGGGCCGCTGGCACTTGCTCTTCGGCTGCGCCACAGCTTGCCTCCTACTCCACGAGAGTATTGCGGCTCTCTGTGTGCTGCAACAATACCAAGGAGACCGGACAGATTGAAACTTTTTCAACGTGTAGTGGTTTCAAGTTTCAGCTGAACCTGAGGCTGAGCTGACATACAGCCAGCTCCCCAAAACCTATACCCTTGCATCGAAAGGCTTGGCATGTGAACATCAAGTATGGTCCCAGCGATGTGAAGACTCATCTCCACAAGAAGCGAGCTTCCATAGCAGTGTATCGGCTTGGGAGTGGTGCTAGTATACTTGTGGCGCGTACAAATCAAACAGCTTCACCATTGCAAGGCTTATTACCTGAAGCTCGCAGGACCAGGATGAGCACACAGCCGGGTGTGTGTAACCCTCGGCGGTGCTGCAGGGCAAGCTTTTGCTACCGCAATACCGAGCCTTCCGATCCTCGCTTGGCGTTGGTTTCCGGAAGATGTAGAGACCACTGCAACTCAAGATGTCATCCCTTGCTAGCAACAAGTGTGCAGTAGGAGCAGCGCAGTCTAATTTTTGTCAAGAGCCTTCTAGCAGAAACATGCATGTGGCTCAGCCCTAGTAGGAATTTGAATGACTGTGGGGTCTTAGGTCGCCGGAAAGTCAGCGACAGCAGAAGCAGTTCTGCAAATAGAAAAGTAGTAGCAGCACCAGAGCAGTAGAGGTGCCTTGCCTTTTGAATGCCGTCAGGAAACCAGCGCAAGCCTTTGGAGTTCTTTAAACACTACGCGAGAGAGAGGAAGTGAGAGCTTTATTGCAAGCAGGAGTTGTCAAGCATGAGGACCAGAGGTCCTTGTGAACAGATCTCGCAAACAAGCATCTTGGCATGGAGCGTAAAACCAAATCGCTGGGCCAACTTGTCAGGATCCGCAAGGCTGTGGCTGCTCTTGCTTTGCACTTTCTCGGAACCTTCGTAATGATATGATGATACAGTGGCTCGGGTCGCATCTGCATGGTCGGAGCTCCGTCTCGCGTGTAGATGATAAGAGTCTCGAGCCGAGTCTATGAGGTGCGATGTGAGTTCCTTTGTTTTATAACGAAAAGTGCTACAAGAGTCTCTGGAACTTTCGTTCAACGAGGACATTCGCTACGGGCAGGTCTGTCACCCTGCCTGCACTTCGTCTAGTATCTGTCGACTCTGAGCTCCCGAGTTGCATGCGGTCTCTGCAAGCGTTGAAACACTCAGGCCCTCAGCCATGCACCGCATTTCAGGGCTCAATCCGGGAGGTCTTAAACACACCCTAACTAAGCTGCAGCTGCCCAGTCTTCTCAGGTCAAGAGCGTGCAGGCAGCGCTAATCCCGGTAATCAACGGCATGAACCTCGACTGAACCTGGAGTTGAGGGTGCAGGGCTTTCACCTTTTGAGGCCTCTTGTCTTGTTTGTATCTTGGTTCCTGAAGTTTTCTTTGCAGCCTGGAAGGAGAAGCATGGGAGACATGTGCGGTCTTGCTTTGTGTTCGGCACATTGTGTCTCCACAAAAGTCCAAGCAGGTTCGGAGAGTCGTGATGCGGCGTTCAGGTTGTCCGTGGGCTTTGGGATTTTCGAGTTTGGCCGTAAGGCTGCAGGGGCTCTTCTGGCAGTGATAAGCCTGGGCCCAGGCCTAGCGAGGACCCACGTACTAGTACGAGGATCTCCGATGAGATATCTCAAGTTGCTCCCGAGCTCCGCAGTTGCAGCTCCCCCAGTGTTGGCTTGAAAGCTGGCTGGGGCGATCATGAAGATGAAGCCGCCCCTGCCCTTCTTCTTGTCTTCAGCTAAGGGTGTGGTGGTTGAGTCCTCTTGGTTTACGATGGGTCTTGGAGCTGCCAGAGCTGCTTCTTCGCATTCAGGAACGTGGTTGGCCTGGTTTCCATTCCCGGCATGATGCCGGAAGCCCGGTTTGATGAAGCGACGCCGTTTGGGTCTCCGTCTTGTGGCCCTGAAACCCAGGGCCCCGTTCTGAAGGTAGAAAGAAGTTGGTAATCAAAGTGCTAGCGATGCGCATGTCAGAGGAATGAAGTCATAATGCAAGGTGCCGGACTCTTGATTGAGCGTAGTTAAGAGACAGTCAGAGCCTCAGACATGCCAATCAGAACTGGATCATTGTGGAAAGATTCAGCCTCGGCTTCTGGGTTGGCATCTTGGGGTATCGATGTAGGTATCAGCACCTTCGAAAGCACTGCGCTATTGACATGGGCAACGTCACCCTGAACCCTAAGCCCTAAAGCCACGTCTTGAAGAAGGCTGGGGATTCCAGAAGCCCTGCGCAGAAGTCGAAGCTGTTAATATATGGACCTGCATTGTTGCGCTGTTCCTTAGGGTCCGTGTAGCTGTTCAATATTTTCACAAGATATTGCGCTGGCGAATGATGTGCCATTCTCTGCATGCTCCCTCAACCTTTGAAAGCCATGCACTCACTTTGTTTCCTGGGAAGTGAGCCTGATGCCAGGACCGGGCAGATCTTGGGCGGGGCCTCGCCTATGAAAGCCGCCAAATACCAGATTGCCGGGAGCCTGAAAGCGTAGCCTCAAAAAGCCCCCGAGTTTCGCCTGTGGCGGCAGTAATCTCGAAGTGCCCCGATGCCCTTGCTTTATCATGGACGCGAGTTTTCAAACAGGAGACTTGAGCCTTCACGGTCCAGATGTTGCATGTGAATCCGAAACATGTCTGTCTTGCACCGCTCGACGTTGGACTTGAAGATCCTCCTCGGATCTCCAGTCTCCAGTCGGCGCAACAGCCTGTCCGCTCTTCACAAGGGATACCCGTACTCTATGCAGCTTCTCTGGGTGTGCCTACAAGAGAAGCCCAAGGTCATCCTCTTCATGATCTCTGGCTGCACATTTTGGGCTGTTTGCATGATCTGCGTGTGATTCTCAGCGGAGGTGGTCGACATGCGATGGAACATGCGGAGACATGTCTGATCCGAAGAATGTCCAAGAATAGTACAGTAGCAGAGGCAGGTCCCGCTGTCAACAACGGAGGCTAGTAATCAAGGTTCATCACCGCTCCCACATACATGCATAGACTTGTTCCGCAGCTCACTGCATAGAGGACTGCGGAGAAGAAGAAATTGGCGGGCAAAGCAGTGACTCAGCTTTGCGCTTCAGCAAATGAGGCTGCGATAAAAGCGGTCGTCAGCCGCCTCCAATTGCGCGAAGAACATCGGTGACAGGGACAATCAGTATTATTGCTATTTGTTACTACCATCACAATTTTTACAATTTGTTGGCAGCATTCTTCGGAGTAGACATCTCTCTGCATGTTTTCCAAAGATGTCCACAGCCTCTGCTGGGAGTCATGCACACAATCAAGAAACGATCATCACGAAGGTTGAATCTGCCGGAGATCGGAGGCAAAAACATGCTTGCCGCGTTCCATGTTAAACCTCGGATCGTGTCGGACGTCGCCGGATTTCCAGTCACCACATAGTCATGCGGCTGCAGCCGCTTGTTACATCGGTGATTGATATCAGCGAAAAGCTGTGTCTGACAAGCAGTTACCTTTCTCATTGTGCTTTCGGGAAAATTGAAGAGATCTCGAAACCTTCAGCCTCAAAGCCGCGGCTTGCGCTGAGGTCATCCAATTCATGGTTTCTGGCTGCACGTTTTTGGCTGTGTGCATGATGTGCGCGTGCTTCTCAGAGGAGGCTGTCCACATTCCATGAAACACACGGGGAGAGATGTCTGCTCTAAGGAATGCTGCTTAGAAAAAAAAGTTGCGTGAGAAGGGTCGGAAATTTGAGCACACATCGCTATCACATCCTGAATGTTACAACTACTTTATACTACTTACTCCTTCTCGTCCAGAACCATGCAGACTAAGCCCGCCAGGTGAGCGATCCTAAGCCCAAGACTGCTTGTGAATTTCGAGGAGATGAAACTCTCCCCAAACCCTGATATAGGGGCCTAAATAATTCCCAATACTATTTTGGGGGGCTCTTTGTGATAATGATAGTATAACGCGGCCCAAAACCCTATTCCAATTATTAAGGCCCCTATATTACGCAATTTGGATGCAATCGAGACCGATGAGGCCTACACCATCCAGGCCTTCTTCGACGAGAACGGGCGCCACGACGACAGCGCAGCCGGGATCCTCAGGAGGCCTTATCAGAGCACTTCTCGCGCCGTTCGTCTGTGTGTGGGTGGAATCACGCAGATACACATACACACATACATCAGGCTTTTCACGATTTTCGGGCATGGAGTCATGTCGAGGGGAGGTGGCGCAGAAATCTAAGGACATGGTATGCGCTCACCAGACTGGGGTGGGATGTAACCGGCAGAGCCGTCCCACCCCTACAACAAAATCAATCTGAGGCACATGGCAACCATCACAAAGTTGCCAAATCTGGTGGCCACTCAGGCTGTCATGAGAAGAATCATGTCAACTAGCAAGAAGTTTTGCCCTGTCACAAAGGGTGCTTTGTATTCCGTTGTCGGCTATCAAGACACCAGTTCATGCATTGTATGACCGCAGCCGGCAGACGCACCCCATGGCGGGTTGTTGGGGCGCTACAATTTTCCGCGCACTGCGGCAATTTGGGCCCCACATACATACATACATACATACATACACGCCCAAGGTCCCCTCGCCGTCCGCGGCCGATTCTGGTGTTTAACTCGAAACATTACGTTGTGTAGGGCGCAGTGGAAGTGATATCATGCGGGTCCATGTTGTTCATAGCCTGAGACTTTTCCAAGATGCTCTGCTTCCTACTACGTTTAAAGGAAAGTGCAAACGATGCAATACAAGACATCCCATCATCCTTCCCTTCAACAGGTCCAAGCTTTGGATGTGATGCGAATCTCTTCCATGATCTCTTGAAAGTCAGGAGGGTTTCGAACTCGACAACTGCACTGAGCGAGTCACTTCGGTCAGGTACGACATGTTTGGCAAGATCACAAGGGGTCGCACGGGTGAATGGCCAAGCCAGGTTTCACAGGGCAGGGTCGGACAAGGATGGAACGTCTTGCTTGGTTTGTTGATCTCCGTTGAGAAGTGCGGCATGGTGCAGCAACGCGCGCCTCTACCGCCCAAGGCATCCTTTCTGATATTACATAAGATGAAAATGTACGGATGGATACGCAAGGTCGTCGCAGGATTAAGATGTCAATGTGGCGTACAATCGCGCTGAGGTGGCACCGCAATCGCGCCTGAACATCTCCAAATTGTGGAGCGCCCAGCATCAGATTTTGTTTCATGCTCATAACATATATCTGGACATATTGAAGAAATCTCTGCAGAAGCCTACTCCCGGCATCCTCTCAGAAATCATTTGACATTTCGAGGAGTTAATCTACCAGGGGATGAAGAGTCCTCACGCTGCCCAAGCAAGGCTGTCTTCTCTGCCAGCCAAATTGCCGTGTTTCGGATCCAGGCACGTCGGATGATGTGTAGTGAGTGTATCTGCCAGACGTGAAAAATCGAAAATAGAATTTATTGGAAGCTGGTAAATCCCCAAAGGCCCAAACCCTGAAACCACAGCTCTTGGACTTTTGGGAGTGGATAGGTCCGACGCCAAGAAGGGGGGAAGCGCATCCCCAACTTCAGCCGCATCCCCTGATTGCTGTGACTGTCGTGATGCTTCTTCGAGTTCTGTTATGCTGAGTATTATTATGGAAACTGCTGTTAATTTCCCTTTTCGATATCGTTGTTGCCACACTACCAGTAGCCTTTTTGAGTGATAATCGTGTTAATGCTATGAGCTGTTACCATTATTGGTTTTGTTTACTGCCGTTGCTACTGTTATCAGTCAATGTTATGGTTGCTGTTGCAGCCACTTTAACTTTGTGTTACTATTGTTGCTGCTATTTCTAGTACTTCTGATTGTTCGCTGACTTGTTTTTCGGCCTTGTTATGTAGTTTTCGCGTCGGTTGTAGTTATAGTGAGAAACAGCAGTAATTCTGGTATTCTCACTTTCATATATGTTCATGGCTTCTTTGATTCAGTCCAAGGCCGTTCGTTGCGCTATGGATGCATTTGCTGATCATGCTTGTTGCCATTGTTCCTCTCGCGGCTGCTGATAATGTTCCGTTCATATTCCGTGTGGTATGCCCTTGCGGTGTTTGCTTTGCTTGTATGCGGCTCTGCGATTATCAAGTTGTTTCGTTTCAAGGTCCTGTTGTTTGTTCGTGTCGCCATCCGAAAAGCACCATCGGTTTTGTGATGCGATATGTAGCTGGAATTTAACATCCTGCTCCTGCTGCTGCTGCTGCTGCTGCTTTTTGTTGTTCGTTGTTGCTTTTGTTTTTGGTCGCGGCTGCGGTGGCCGAGATTGTTGTTGTCCTCGGTGGTGGTGGTGGTGGTGGTGGTGGTGGTGGTGGTGGTGGGAACGGTGGGTTTGTACTGTCGTTGATCCTTGGCTTGCTGACATCCTTAGTGCTACTCGTAGTCTTCTCATTTGCCTTCTTCGCCGTCGTTGTCTCTCCAGGGCTCTGAAATCGACCCCAAGCCTGAGGCAGAGCAGCCTCTTCTTGCAGAGCCTGGGACTCAGCTGGGATTTCTTGCTAGGATTCTTCATTCTCTAGATCTCTAGGTGTTGTGGCGTTCAAAAAGGGGCATGGGGTAGCAGTAGGGAAGCTGGTGGCCGGAAAAGCTGGGGTTTGCGGTGCATTGCCTAAGAAATTCCAGTCCAACCGAGCGTTGCTCATGTAACAGGCCATCTTACCTAACGCTCCTTGCATCCAGCTCCTGTAGATTGCAGGATCCGGCTTGTACAGTGCCACTGTTGCCTGCAAAACGGGATGGGCAAGGGCTAGTTCAGCTTCATCGAGGTTGTTTCACCTCTGAGCTGTCCGTCTGGGGCCAGTCGACCCAACACCCCCCCCCCCCCCCCCCCAAACCCTCCAAACCCTAAAGCCTCCCTAAACCCTCCCTACACCCTAAACCCCATACCCTAAACCCCAAACCCGAAACCCCAAACCCTAAACCCTAAGCTCCCTCTCAGGGCCTGGGTCTGCACGCTGGTTCAATCATAACTCCTACAGAGCCCCCAAGGTTCCCAAGAGTGTCTCGGTCCCAGGGGGGCTGGTATCGGGGCCTTAATAATTAGAATAGGGTTCCTTTAAAGGGGTCTATAAGGGATGCTGTAAGGGTACTATAGTATAGGGGCCTTAAGAATTCGAACAGGGTCTGGGGTACTATAAGTGGTATTGGTAAGTGTTTAGGCCCCTATAGTAGTAGCCCTCTTACAACCGGCCAACCAGGGCCAGCGAGCCCCTGGACTTGATCTGCTCCTGGCGGAAGCAGCAGTCTGCAGAGGGAGGAGCTTTCGGCAGCGGTTTTGGCTGGGTTTTGCTTTGAGGGTTGAGGGTGCCTGGCCCAAAGAGAAAGCAACAGTGGTCGTATCGCCCTGCTTGCACTTGAGTCAGAATGCCTAAGAGGAACCGACCACACCCGAGAAGCCCGGAAGCCTTGCGCATAAAGCCCCAGTAGCTCAAAAAATTGAAATGTGCCAAGCCCAAGAAGCCCTTAGCTTTGAGGGAGCCTCCAGGAGCCAAAGTGCTTGATGTCCTCATGGAAGGGAACGTGGGCAAGCTTCGGCCCCTCAAGGCGCCGCGCTTTTGGAGTGGAACTTCGGATAAAGCGGCGTCAGAGAGGACAGGCTCAGGGAGGAAATGCCAGGCGTAGGCGTGGATGATGCCAGAACTACTGAGCTACTGTCGTTGAATGAATTGCTGCAGCTTACATCCAAGGTGCAGTTGTAGTTGTCTAGACTTGATCCGGCACTGCAACATGACGCGCAGGGAATCGAGATACCGATTCGAGTCGTTGTTGGGCTGAGGTTCCAGCAGCATATTGGGGCTCTTAAGGCTTCTTTGCAAACTCTGCGAAGTTTATCCATAATAGGTTGAGTTTCCCCAGTGTTCTAATTTGCTACTAGGAGTTCGGGGTTCTCATGCACCACGCTCTCATGTTTGGGCAATCTTCGCAGGTGCAGTTTCCAGCCTTGGCTGGCGAGGCAAGGGGCTCTTTCGAGCACGAGAGTTTGGAATCAGACTTCCAGGTCGCAGTCATCCTGAAGTAGGTAGAGGATATCTGAGGACGACGGTATGAAGATCACAGCCCTCATGATGTCCTCATGTTCCCAACTGATCCTTTTCGGATGCGTTTAGGCGGGTTTCGGGATCCCGTCCGAAGTTCGTCGGTCGAGAGTATCCCGGACGAGCGCCAAGCAGCACGAGGGTGTGGTCTCGTGCCCTGTGGTGATGATGATGGCGACAGGGGTTTGACGTCCTGAGCTCTCATCTCAAATTCCAGGCCCATGGTGTAGCTCGGGCTTTCCCTGGATCCGAAGCCAAAAGCATCGACAACGAAACCGCAGACTCTTGCCGGGTTCACATCCGGCTTAGCAACTGCATCTGCTTCCGCTGCCCTCCTGGGAATTGTGCGGTTTGTTGCGCAGGTCTTGTGCATCATGGGCCCCAGCGGAGTGGGCAAAAGTACACTGCTGTGGCAGCCTTAGGCGACAGAGCTCAGAGGGAGAGCAACATTGCATGGCATTACATGATATGTCTATGATTTTAGATATTTTTACGACTTATCCGACTGATATTATATAACCTGGAGCCCTTCTGTGTTTTGGGGCTTCAGCTGCACACTCTCAACTGGCAGAAGAAAGCATACCGAAGGAGGAGAGAGGGGAGAGGGACGGGAGAGGCAGAGGGAAATTGAGTTGGAGAGAGTTTGACTCCAGAGCCGCGGTCGCCGGGACTGCCAGCCGAACTAGCTCTCTGAAGAGTGAGAGTGCCTTGGTTTGGAGCAGGCGTCACAGAGAAGAAGCTTGGCCGCAAAGCTGGGTCACCCTAAACTTTCAGATGCTGCCAGAGCTGCCGAAAGAACGAGAGTTGGACATGTTGGACTGCAGACTCGAGCCCGCCGATGGAGGGGGAGAGAGAGAGAGAGAGGGAACTACGAGGGCCACAACCCTCCACCATTGCCCAGGCGAAAGAAAGAACTACGAAAAGAATTGCAAGAAGACAGAACGAGATAAAGAGATGCATAGACAGAGGGGTGGGGCGCAAACACGCTGATCTTTAGGAAGTGGATCGCCGATCTCTCGCGGTACGGTAGCGCCAAGTTGCGGCCTTGGGTTGAAGCGTTTCGGACTTGGATCTTGGAGCTTTCGCAGCTCTGTTTCTTCGCAAGGGGTGTCGGTGCTATCGCCATGATCAGGAAAGGTTGTGCGTGTGAGGTTGAGTCTCAAAGCTGGTGGGCTTTGGGTGTAGGGGCCGTGTAGGGTATGCTTGAAGCTCTTGACTTTGAGATGTTAGAGAGAATGTCCGGAGCTTCCCCGAACCCCTGAAGCTTCCTCCTGCATGAGGGTGTAGGCTTTAGTATTTAGGGTTTAGGGTTCAGGGTGGGGCGGGGGGGGTCTAGGCCTGTAATCACACTTGCAGCCGGAGCCTCGAGGATGTGTGCGGACTAGGACCTGTATAGGACTTTGGAGCTTGTACGCGCGCTGTGCGCCACGTCAAGCTCATGGCCTATCTTTTAGGCCCTGCTCTTTTGAAGCGGCTGCCGTAATGACCTTGACGGCAGCATCAGCAACAGCGACAGCAGCAGCAACAAGTGTGACGAAGACACCAACGAAGAAAACTGGATGTTGGCGGTTTAGGCTTTCGCTGTGGTTTAAGCGGAGCTTTCGTCACATCGTAGGATGGCGGTCGGCACGCGAGACAAAGACACGATGGCGTCGTGCCCTCAAGAAAATGCAGGTTGGGCATCCAGGCCCAGCTTCCGATTTGCTCCTCGGGTTTTTGATTTGCACCGGGGGATTTGAAAGTGAACGGTTTTGTTAGTAGCTTGCCATAGATGTGTATCCTAGCCAAATTCACCGCCATCGCGACCGTCATTACCTTAACCCGGGATGATGCCGAACACAAGGGGTACGTCTTTCGCCTACCCTGAGATCCCGCAGCCTTGACTCCTAAACCCTCAAACTCCCCAGCGCTGCAAGCATGGCCACCAAGGATGTCTCCGGGTTCTCGGGCTTTGGGCTCTACAAAAAGGGGCCTAGGTAATTACCTAAACCATCCTGGGGGTTCCGTATTATGATTATGGTATAATGGGCGCCCCAAAGCCCTATTCTAATTATTAAGGCCCCTGTATTGTAGTACCCTTATAGTATCCCTTATGGATCCGTTTAATGGAACCCTATTCGAATTATTAAGGCCCCTGTATTATAGTACCCTTATAGTATCCCCTTGTAGATCCCTTCAAAGGAACCTTATTCTGTTTGTAGTATCCTTATAGATCCCTTTAAAGGAGCCCTAATGGAACCCTATTCTAATTATTAAGGCCCCTACATCAGTTGCAGACTTCGCTTGTCTCGTAGGTGTCGTAGTTCAAACCGAGGCCCCAGGAGTGGCGAAGAGAGGCCGGCGAGGGCGTCAGATAGGGGCCTTAGTAGTTAGAATAGGGTTCCTTTACAGGGATCTATAAGGGATGTTATGAGGGTGTGTCAGGGTACTACAATATAGTACTATGATATAGGGGCCTTAGTAATCAAAATAAGGTTTTGGGCCCCATTATGCTATATTTAGAACAAGGAACCCCCCAATAAAGTATTGGTGTTTTTTCAGGGCCCTGTAGTATGCCAGTCTGAGATTCTGGGCCTTGCGAACTTGGCTTTAGTTGCCTTTCCCCTTGGATGTTCACGTCATGTGTGTTCTAGGCACGGGGGAAGCACAACCGAGAGCCCTTTTTCTGGCAGGCCATACATCATAAGTACTTGTTCGTTTGGGGGCTCGTCGGTACCACAAGATTTCTGGGCATGCAGCTGGTTGCAGTAAGAGCTGAAGTGTCCTCGATTCTTGCACTGGCTGCCTCTGGAATGTGGACTTTAGCTTTTGGCACGAGGACTCATACACCCGGTTTCTTGTGTTTGCAACCGCGAAGCCTTGCTGCCACAATGCGACCTCCACACCGCCACTCCTCAACCCCACATCTCACAGCAGCCGATCCCGCACAGGTCCTGTACGTCCATCAGGTCAAAGCACCTTTGCCGGGGACCCCTCGCAAACTCATCCAGGCGCCTAGTAGTCCTGCACGTGTCAAAAATTGTATTTTGGGGGCCTAAATATTACCAGCACTATTTGAGGGTTCGTCATTATGAATATAGTATAGTGGACCCCAAAACCCTATTCTAATCGTTCAGGACCTGTATTATTTGAAGTCAGAGAGCATGCAAAGAAGTGGCAACGATGGGAATGAGAAGCCATAGCACGAATGCGGAGAGATCGGAGTTTGTCACTTGTTGGATGCTGTTTTGTCGGACCCTAAACCCTAGTAGCAGGGAGGAAAAGGGCCTGCGAAAAAAACTATAAGGTCTGAGAGAGGCACGAAGATATCAGGAGTTGTGTTTCACAGGCTTCGGAGAAGCTTCTAGGAGAGCGCGAAACCAGAAAGCCTTTCTCAAAACCGTGGCGCGGGTAGCATAATATGCTATGCATGCGCTAGACTTTAGATTGCAATAAACTGTACTGACTATACTGTAATGTACGATGACATACAGACAACAACATCATGGTATGCAAAAACACACAATACACGATGGTATACAACACCATACAACTTCTGCTACAACATATACAAAAACATGCAAAACAAAAGCACATCTAGTATACTAGAACTAAACAGATTGAAGAAAATATATTTTTTCCCCAATATGGTTAATGGTCCGGAAGGCCTTGGAGAAGCTCAAAGTTCGGAGTGGACTGCCGGCCTTGGCTGCCGAGCCGGGAGCTGAGAGCCGGGGTCCTGGGAAAAGGGGGGGGTGAAAGGAGCAGTGATGGTTTAAGGTTTGGAAATTAGTTTTTCGCTTTTTTGAGGGGAAGAGGGGGTGGTTTAGGCTTTAGGATGTAAGTTTCAGAGAGGGTTTGTAATTGTTTCGGATTATGGGAGTGCCTTGGAAGGCCTTCTTCAGCTTCGCGCGTGCCCTGGCTGCTGACCCTTCGCATCCACGGCCTGAAGCCGAAACAATTCGACACCAAGCGTAGTTCACAACAACTCCTTTTTCTCAGACGCACCGGTGCCACTGGAACCTTGGCACCGGACAGCTCTGGCACGCACTTGCACCTCGTCGTCGCCCCACTCAAGTTTCAGCTTGACTCAACCCCACGTCCGAACCCAATTATTGTTGATGGATCCTACACCTTGTCAAAAAAGCTTATATGCCGACTGAGGCCCCTCGTCTCTCAGATTGGTCCGACCCTCGGCGCTTAGCCGCTGTCGCTGTATTTGGTGTGCGTTTGCAGATTTGTCAAGAAGACTTCTATGGGGATTTCAATGCACGTTGATGCCTCTAAGTTCGAGGGTTGATGGTTTCGAAACAGATTTCAATGCCAAGGGATTTTGGCTTGCCGGGGCAACAGTCCGGCTGCTCCAGACTCTGTAATATAGGGGCATTAATGATTGGAATAGGGTTTTGGGGCCGATGATAACATAAACACAATAAGGAACCGCCAAGAGTGTCGGTAATAATTTGGGCTCCTATAGCACCTGGTGCAAGGTCCGGGGATCTGTCTTGTTTTCTCCCAAAATCGGGCACAGTTCCTGAGATTGACAGATCGATGGATGCACCTACCAATCAAATGCCCAGCCGGAGATTTGATTTCAAGCCACCTGAAGGTTTGGAAGAGAGCATGCTAGACAGGCCCGGCTCTCAGCAACCTGAAGATTGCAACGGTGCCCTTAGATTCAACACTGCATTAGATCGTACTCAGACCTGGTAGTGCTGTCCTTGCTTCTGCTGGTTATAGCTGTAATGTATGGTTGTTGCAATCGGTGTTCTTGCTTTTTTTCTTTACGGCATGTGTAGCCATGAAGCCGCAGCCGTCGTGGAAATAAGGCCTCAGAAGCAGGGCAAGGAAGTAATCGAAGCAGTCTATGTCAACGGCGACTCCAATTTCGTCTTCCGGTGCTGTGATTCCGTTTTTGCTGTTGTGGCCGAGCTTAGCTTGAGGAGCTTTGTTCTCCGAGGGCTTGTTACTGTTGCCGGATGAAACATTCGAGATGCTGCAGCAACGCGTAGGTGGTCCGTAGTTGTGGTACTCTTCGTAGGTATGCCAGCAACTGCATTTCTTACACCTTGTTAAGGTGTCTCTGTAAAATGGTGTTGTAAATATGTATATATGGGTGGTTGTCAAAATGATGGCCCCTTGTTGGGTCCTTAATATAGTAAGGCACCTCATATTTAGGGTACCCAAAAATGGGCCCTAATTTTGACAACCACCCATACAGAGATAGCGATAGACAGCACAGACAACCTCTCGAAGGTCCTGGTCCGAGCTCTCCGGAGGTGAGGGTCAGAGGATGATGTTTGCCATCGCCGCTGGGGCAGACATGTAGCGGGATGTTTCGGGCTTATAGCGTCGCTATAAGGGTTTGGGGTTTTGGGTTTAGGGTTAAACGTTTAGTCAAACTCCTTCGGGATTCAGGACGCAGGTTGGACGAAATCATTGCTTGAGCTTGACGTACGAGTGTCCGCACGGTTGAGCAGCAGCAGCGGTGGCGGTCGAGGAGGTGGTGGTGGGAGCCGGAGGAGGACCAAGACAGCAGTAGTGAGTAGCAAGTCCGATAGTGTCGGTGGCAGCGCCATGCAACCATGGTGAGCTTTTTCTTGTTACTTTGCTACCGAACGCTGTTCGCTGCAGAGTTGCAAGATCGGCCTAGGCTCTGTCAACGAATCCCAAGTGTTTGGTCCTGGACGAGCCGACGAGCGCCCTCGATGAGGACAGCCCTCCCTTGCACCGGGAGGGTGTTTTGACAAAGGGCAAGCCGAGCGTTGTTGCAGAATATCGTAGAGTAATCGGCATCCGCAGGCCTTTCTTGCGGATCTACCGTGGAGTTCATGTTTGAGTGAGGTTTGTTGTTTCGCTCAAATCTAAGGCTGGGGTTTGTGCAAACGGCCCCTCGACGGTCGGCTACCTTCGTGTCATGGGGTTGGCGATGGGGACTTGTTCTTCAATCTCGTAAGCCAAGCAGGAGCCTGCTTGTGAATAGCTGGTGTAGTTCAGCGTAGTAGCTTGTAGGTCAACAGACCGGAAGTTCGTGGGCAAAGAGCGGTGGGCAGAGATTGTTCTGCTGTTGCACTCACTCACTTCTGGGAGCTAGTGCTCCCCGGTACGAGTCACCTGATATCCACACAGTAGGTGCATGTAGGCTTACAGCCCTCGAGGTGTACTTCCGGGTCGAAAGTCGAGGTCAGGAGCCGGCTCGCTAGTAACAGCCCGACACACGCAGCTGAGTTGGCCTCGATTGATAACTACAAGGGCCCCTGCACCAAAAACTCACTAAACTAAACACTATCCGGCACGATTTCGGCGCCCACAAGTGTGGGAGTCCGAAAGGGGGAATCCGTATCTAGAAGCCCTGTGGGCAGAATCGAAACAAGAAACCGCTCATCCACACCAACAAAGGTAGATGCCTGGCGTCACTGTGTCTGAAGTGACAGCATGCAAAATTTCTAGCACTATCTCAAAACCCTTGATTGACCTGTGAGGCCTCCAAGATTCTGGTTGAGGAGGTGCTGAAGAAGCGAGGCGGGGATTGCCCTGCTTTCGCCTTCGCTTGTTCGTCGTGCGCCTTGCCGCTGTCGCTACTACTGCTGCTGGCCGTGGTCTTGATTGCTGCTGCCGTTGTGTTGTGGCAGTGACGGTGCTGGCCCTAGGCATGGCACTGGTGTTGGTGTTGCTGGTGTTGCCGGCTGCTGCCGCTGGTGCTTCTGCTGCTTCTTGTCGTTGTGCGAATTGCGTCAACTAGCTTCGCTCGTCATGTTGATCTAGATGACATTTTCTCACTGGATCCTTTGTGAAGGTCTCTCGGCTGGACGGGAGCGGGGCGGTTCCAGGTTTTCGTTTATCCGCCTGAAGATTTTAGTTCCATGGTTCGAGGACATGCATTCAGTACAGTACGGACTTCCAGTAGGTCCAGTCGTGCACCGCCAAGGCAGCGATTCCTGCGTCATCATGGCCACGCACGACGGGAAGCAAGCCGAGCGTGCCTGACCCTCGAAAGTACCACATGGGAACACGAGCAGCTGGTGTTCTCAATTCTTTGTGGTTTCCTTTGTGTGCACTCAACCATACCCTCCTGCTGAGGTTGGCACCTCTCTGTGGACCTTCACCCAAACCGCGTGAATGATTTCTGTGCTGCCTAACAGTTTGATCGGTGTTGTGCTGTGGTGTCAGAGTTTAGCACGAAGTTTCGAGGGTGTAGCAGAATCGTGACGAGTCTTGCGCACCAGATCGTTTCAATTTTCCAACTGGTTGCGGCAGGTAGGCGCAAAGACTTCAAGCTCCTCTCGTGCCCGGTGGAAAATCCGAATCTTCCATCTCGTTTTCTGCGAACCGCTCAGCCCAAAGCTCGATTGCGCGGACCTGAATGTGAAGTTCTCCTGCAGGGTCCTGGCTCCTAGTGTGCGACGAGCGCCTGCCTTTTGCCCGCCATGTTGGGGCGACTTCCCTCACTGAAGGCCTGGGCCCGGGGTCGCCAGAACCGGGTTTGGACTTCGGAAACGAGAGACCCGTCTGAAATGTTTTGTTAATTCGTATTTTTAATAACACAATTATTATTTTTATTGTTATTATTATTGCTATTCCTATTATTATTGCTGTGACTGTTACGAGTTAGTTCCAGGCACAGGAAGGACTGTGCAAGAGATGCTGAGTCTTCCAAGGCCAAGGCCCGACTCAGACCTTTAGGAGACCCCTTGAATCCCTTGAATGCAAGGAGGTGTGCATTAGAGAACCGCCAAGTTCGGAAGGCCGACGAGGCTAAGAGAAGCAAGACACGGACGACAGATTCACTCCGGCTTGCTACGGTTGATGATATAGATCCTGCATGACCTCCAGGACCCTAAACTATGGGAATTATGGTATATGCCTCATTATGGGTCATGCAGGATTTATATCATCAACTGTAGCACCCCTAGATCCAAAGCTCAACGTGGAGAACCTTCATTGGAGCTCGCTTTGAAGTCTTGTGTGCAGAGCAGGCCCTTCGGGGTCTGGCCGCACGTGGCTTCGCGGCGCGGCGCCCACCAGGGTTGTGATGCAGGGTTCGTGGTTGTGCTTTTCGGACTCGAAATTCAGAGGCTTGTCCATTCTGCTAGCATTAATTTACAGCGCTGACCCCTGAGGCTCACGCCCTGCTTAGAAAGTCACGAAGCCTTGCTGCCTCGCTGGCCCCTGATCGGCTAATCGACGAGTTTCGACAGGCACAACGTGAAGACTCAACTTTCAGGTTCGTCAGACTTCAGGCAAACAGCTTCTGCAAGCAGCTTCTGCAGCTCCACCCCCGTACGGTCTCGGAAAGAGCACAAGCTCCCAACTAGTTCCCAACTCCAGGCTCCGCAGGCCTCCTGGGATCGGATGCCCCAGGGGCCTCGTAACGTCTTATATACCAATGTACCCTGCTCTGACTATGCATAACGGAGAGAAAAAGCAGAGGCTTGAGCAAGAATGCACGAACCACGAAAGTAAGCTGTCTCGTGCGTTGTATCTGTCTGTTTCTCCATCTATTTGTAAGTGCAGGTACATCGTAGACTGCATGGATTCTGCCTGTCGTGTAATATGCTTTCGCTTTTCTCTGCATCTATATACGTACTATTACTGAGAGAATCACTATAATATGATACAGACTACCCTACATCCTACTCTGCATCTCTACTTCTGCTATACTAGTACTAAATTATTTACTAGATGGTACAGACTACCTGGACTACCCTAAACCCCTAAACCCTAACCCCTAAACCCCTAAACCCTAACCCCTAAACCCTAAACCCTAAAGCCTCAGAGACGAGTGAGCCAAGATGGCTGAGCCGTTTTCTTCGCTCAGGCAGAGGCCAAGGCCGCCGCGGCAACCAGCGGCAAGGCGCGGGACCTCTCCCGAAACCCGGGTTTAGGGTTTAGGGTTTAGGGGTTTAGGGGTTTAGGGTAAATTTCCCTAAATCCCAAACCTTTAGGGATCTTCTTCTAAATATGCGGTTTGGAGGTGGGGTGCAGGGATGTGCAGGGTCTCTGAAAGAGCAGCTTCAGGGTATAGTTTAGGGATGTATAGATTATCTAGGTTTTAGGGGCTTAGCATTTAGTGCTATGTTATGTTTCTTTGTTTTTATTTTTCAGTTGTTTCCTGGTTTGGAAGCTTGTAGGCTTGTAGGTTGAGTTTCTTTGGATTCGTTCTACGTTTTTGGCCGAGGGGCCCGAGGACTCGTTTTTGGGCGTGAGCCTGTCGGTTGAAATCCGCAAAACCCGGAAACCTAAATACTAAACTAAACCTTGTGGAGCACCACAGGATGCCATCAACAACATAAAGGCAGCCAAGGTGTCCGAAAGCTCGAGCTCCGTGGTGCAGGGTCTTAATCTCGGGTCCGTCTTGTCGGACTTGCTTCAGCTGCACACAGGAGATCCTGAGCAGGAACAGTAAAATCGGGGCCTCAAGAGGTCGTCCGCCAGCAGCGCTTGTTACTGGTAGCTACACTGGGATAGTCTATAGTATAGGGTTTGGGGTTCGGTTAATAGATCTCAAAGCCTCTTTGACGAGCCACCTTGGAAAGGTCTCGCAGGTCATTGGTGCCGTCGTCGATGCCTGCCCGCCAGGATTCGTTGACATTGAGCTGTGCTGGAGATTGTGTTCGGATGCCTCTCTTTAAATGTCTTGGAGTAAGACCGGTCGCTGCTGTGATTGTTCAATGTCGATAGAGGTAGCCACTGCAGCAGGAGTGACATGACGCACTATTGGCTTTGAGGTTACGGCTTGAGGGAAAGATTTCAGATCAGCTGGCGACCTAAAACATGCAAGAGATTGCGCTCTTGGAAGGTCACTGTATTGCGCCAGAAAGAACCTCATTCCCTGTACCTTGTCGGAACTTCGAGCGGACGGGTTAGAGATGTGGACTGGCTACTGAACGTAAGGACCCTGAGACTGACACCCCTGATAGAGATTCGGGCGGGACACCAATGCCAGGTCCAGTTCGACACTGCCCTGCCACCTATCCTGAACGCACTTGAGGTGCAGGGCTAGTGATGAATGCTGTGACAGGATACAACATGGTGGGCTTCCGGAAATAAGGAGGTCCCATCCAGGGTGCTTTCAGTAATCACACTATCTAGGGTTTTGCACGGGTCGCTTCATATGTTCATGCAATTGACCTACACTGACTTTGCCCTGTACCACAGCCGCGCTGCTATGTGCAGTCGACATTGTATGCACTATGCTGCCTGCGCTTCGCTCCGCGTATGCTTCTTGTGCGCTTTCGCTGATGTGAAACCTGACGACACTCGGTATTTGCAGTTTCGAGCCGACTGGAAGCATGCGCGTACGGTGACGCATCGGCTGTATGGTGGGATTTGCTCTGTGCTCAGCATCGCGATGCTTAGCCGCTACTCGCCCTCAACCAACCTGCCCACCTAATCCCTGAATTCTTAGCTCTGAGTCATGAACCCCAAGAACCTGCCTCCGCTTTCGTGACGCACCTCCACACAGGTCGAGGGTTTTGAGCATCGCCTGGTGCTGGAAGTGGCACAGCACTTGGGCGAGGCGCCCAGGATCAGAGAGCTCGGACCGAAATCGATAGCCGCTGGGTGGCTAAGTGGGAATAGTAGTAGTGGTAGTAGTAGTAGTAGTAGTTACTAGTAGTTAGTAGTTGTAGCAGTAGTATCTACTGCTACTACTACTGCCACGACGACGAGGTCGGCCGACGACCGACCGACGACGACGATCAATCACAACGACTACGATTGAGATTGCCACCATAACTACGCCTATGACTATCGCTACGACTCTGGCAAAAGCAGTCTCGCACCCAGGAGAGAACATGGTCCGGACGATTGCGATGGATGGAACTGATGGCCTGACACGTGGGCAGAAAGCTTGAAGCTTAGGTTGGGAATGGCCGTAGGTTTGAGGGTTGACATACTATGATATACAATAATATACAATCATCTACCAGATTACACTATAATACACTACAGTACACTGTAATGTACTGTATTAAGCCATATCATGCTGGACTACACTTTGCTACGGCTGTGTCTGCGCCGTTCGGGGTCAGGACTGCTCACACAGCTTATCGTTTGCTGCGTGGCTCGAGGTCATTGACACCGGCGCCCCGATTACCGTGCCCGTGGGTGAGCAGACGTGACCGCCCTAGCGGTTCGTTAAAGTCTTCGGTATAGAACGAATAGCATAGCTTCAGTCTTGAAAGCGGTAGGTCGTTGGTGACAAGGGCACAGTGATGCCAAACTGAAGCGTTTTTTCTCGAGCAGAGCCCTGTGCACGAGCGCAAAAGCCGGGAATCCCCGGTTCGTGAATTAGGCTGGGCCGCATCATCAACATCATCGGCGAGCCGATCGATGAGCTTGGCCCCATTGACACCAAGAAGCTTCGACCTCAGAGATGTCTTTTTCAGGGTTTGGGCCTTAGGGTTTAGGTTCCTTCTGCACGGTCAGCTTGATGTTGACTCTGGAATCTGAAAGCCTGACTGACTCAACCACCACAAACCCCGAAACCCCGAAATGCAGCCGCAGCCAAACTTTCGAGCCCTCCACCCAGGTTCCCAGTCTCGCAGTTCCATGAACCCTCGCCATATGGCAGTTTCCGAAAATAGGGGACCCTAATATAGTACCCTAAATTTCTTAAAAATATAGTAGGATCCTTATTATAAGGACCTCAAAAGTAAGGTACCCCTAACCCCCATATCTTGCCAGCTTCCAGGTTCTATGCCATCCATCGCCCAACTCCGACCTTCACTGAGATGAACACCACAGCGCAGCAGCTTCTCACCGGGATCAAGGCCGACGGAGTGAGTTTGGGGGCAGTTTATGAGTTTCAGGATGTGTGAGCTTGCGGCAATCGGTTCGGAAGTCTCGGGGGCTGTTGTAAGCCACAGTGAAAGCAGTGGCTGTATCGAGTTGTCTGCATGCAGCCTTGTAGCTGTAAACCACGACTTTCCGCCTGTCCTTGTTTCGCTTGAGTTCCTTCTTGTAGTGCTCCGCTTGTTGATACCTCGACTTCCTCTTTGGATAATTCTTGCTCACATCTTTGAATGTGCTGATAATGCTAAGGCTGCACAGCCCGCGAGCAAGCCGCAGTAGTTCGTGCATTTCTGGCCAGTATAGCAGGAAACGGGTTAGGAGAAGAACAGCCGCAGTGGCATGACCCTATACAGCAGGATTGTCTGTGGCCGCCGCGTTTGATGTTAGTTGATATTCATATTCCGCCAAAATAGTCGATGGCCATTCGTGAAGCGGCATCTTCTCTTGACACAAGAGCGGTCTGCGGGCGACACGCAAGCAAGCAAAAAACACTCGAGCATCCAACGAGCAAGTATGAGAAACTTGCCCCAGGTGGTGGACCTGTTGGCGCCCTACGCCAAGGCTGGACAGTCTAGAGTCTAGAGTATGTCAAGAAGCAGTTTAGATCCCTGGTTGCTGGTGTGGAGTGGTGAATTTTGTACTGGTGATCACTGTTACGATACAATGGATATGCTGATGCTGGGGCATGGGCAGGGTGATGTTGCTGTTGTGTCGCTGTTGATATGGCCTTCGATGTTGACAGAACCCTTGCAGATGACGAGGGTGATGATGGTGCGGATGGTGATACGGTCCGTTATCATGATTCAGTCGCGAGTGACAGCGATGGGGACTGATCATGCTAGCTGCTAGCGATTCTGGCTACAGGCAATGACTTTTGCACCTGGCTGAGGGTGGTAAGATCGGCCTCTTCGGCGGCGCCGGGGTCGGAAAGACGGCCCGCATCCTCAGTACTCGGTTGCTGCAATCGCTTGCGCCGGGAGGGCCGCGATGCTCTTTAAGTTCTTTGCATCTTCACAGTTTGTTTGTGCGTTGCAATATGTGCATGCTTTGATTGCATCACTCCTGAGGTGGTCATCATGGAGCTGATTCACAACATTGCCTTGCCCTCAACTGTGCACGATCTCCTACGAGAATCGTTCCGAAGACCCTGTAGACCCTCGTTGCGTTGTTCTCTCAGTGTCCAGGTTTCTCGAAAGTGAGGTCGGGCTGCATTGGCTTCGAAGCGACTCTAGGGCTGTGTGAGTCTATGATGGGTGCAAGTAGGTATACATTACACATGGAGCAGGCACCGACAGAGAGGCCTCTTCCGAGTGCAGCCTGCACGCGCTGCAGGCTCTGAAGCACGGCGGTTACAGCGTCTTCGCGGGTGTAGGCGCTGCGCTCAGCAGAAGCCTGTCCTCTGTCTGAGAGTTGCGGAAGCTGAGAGCTGGATGGCCGATGGAAGGCCGAGCTAAAGCTTAGGGCCCAAAACAAAAACTAAGAGAATCTGCCCTATTTATCACCGAAAACTGCAGCATGTTACAGTTAACAGTGTCAGCAGCTTTCGGACCACATCCAGGCATGCACAAGCTGCATGATCCTGATTCGTCTGACCTCAGCTTACACCAAGAAATACAGGTGCAGGAATACTGAACACATTCCTGGCGGTAGAATCCCTGTCATGGAGGCAGGCTAGCTCACTGGGTAATACTGTCGAACCGCCTGCGCACGCTTTCTTCCTCCTGGGCCCGACGGCTGACTGTCCGTCGCCCAGATTTGTGTCAGCCACCCCGATCCGACCAAAGCAGGAGTGCACCCCGCTCAAGCGCCTTGAGCCTCCTCAGCCCGGAGGTGAGCGCACACGTGAGGGCAATGACTTGTACCACGAGATGATGGCCAGTGGAGTGCCTTGTTATCATTGTGTGCCGGAGGTTGAACTTGGGGTTTGTCGTGTAAGACTGCCACGAGGAAACCTGGGATGGAAGCTGAAGACCGCAAACATGTTTATAGCCGTTTCTGGCATGGTACACGCTGTGAGAAGCACAACAGAAGCTGCAAGTTCCGAGATTCGACCCGATGGAAACTGGAGACCAAGAGCTCTTCTGTCTACATGACGGCCTACAGGCAACTTCCGCTGCCACGTAAGATCCCCCATGATGCCGCTAAACCCCAAATCGAAAATCCCAAATCTCACAAGACCACGGTCTAGATCCGTATTCTTCTTTCGCGGGTCCCAAAACCGTAGAGAGCCGGCCTCTACACCCAGGATAAACGGCCACGAAGTGCTCCCTCCACCCCAAAACTCGAAGAAAACAGACCTCCGAGGTGATCAAGAAGGACAAGGCCCCAGGATCCAAGGCCACGACGGGAGTTAAGGGGAATGCAGGGGCCTTAATACTTTCCTATCTTATTTTGGGGTTCCTGAATAGTATAGTAGTATAATAGTATAATGTGTCCCCAAACCCTATTCTAATTACTAAGGCCCCTATAGTACGGAATTCGATAGTTCCCATCGCCACGTTGACAGCAGCGTCCATGATGGTCGTCACTGCCCTCGTCTGCTGCTTCGTCATCTACACCTTTTCATATTCATAATTTGTATTCTTCACCTGCGTAAGGATCTCCGTATTCCATCTTCAGTTTCAAAGTCTTATTACATACTCACCATCACAGGGACTCTTGTCTCGCTTGCACTGGTGTGTTCCTTGTCTCATGTGGTTTCGGGTATCGGTGAAGTGAGGAGTCGGGTGTCACAGCATTGCAGGGTTTTTGGGGTCAGTGCTTCCGTTCAGCTTGTTCCGTGATGCAGAGCATCGTACAAAGCTGCCCGTGTGCTCCTTGTTCTTACCTTTGGTTAGTAGGGAATGGAAGAATGGTAGTAATAGTAATTATAATTGCACCCCATTCCTCCATTCCCTACTAACCAAAGGAAAGTGTTGCCGCCTTGAAGCGGTCTTCAGTCCACTGCTGGTATGGTGGCACCAGGCTGCGCTGGTGTACGGCCAGATGAACGAGCCGCCTGGAGCGCGTGCACGGGTGCTTCGGCGGAGACGGCTTACCGAGACGGCTTACGGTGTTTACGCTCAAGGGATACTTGCTTGGATTCGCGATTGCGAGGAAGCTTTTTTTGTTTGCACAAGATCTAATAGTAGCAGGGCGAAGCCCACCACGAGATGTGTTGGGTGGAGGTTTGGAGGGTCGTTTGTGTGTTGTGTGATTTTTGGAGTTCGGGACGTATCGTAATCTTGATAGCTATATATACTGACCAGCATGTTTATGCAGAACCCGCTACGACAAATGATTCGTGCGATTGCTGTCGCTCTTACCGGTGCCATGGTTTGTGTTGTTGGTGCGATCATCATCCTTGTCATCGTCCATGACAGCTCTTGACCGCAGGTGGCCCTTACCGGCCTGACCGTGGCGGAGTATTTCCGAGACGAAGAGGGTCAGGACTCCAACTAGGATACTGTTGCCGTGAGCTTCGGGGCTAAGGTCTCAAAGTATGAGGCTACGTCGGGGAGGCGGTGTGGCATTTGCATGGAAGTAGGAAGCCTTGACAGAGGCAAGAATGCAAAGCACCCCCCAGATCAGAAGCCTCGGTCTCGACCCTAAGCACTGAAGCCCTGTGCCCCTTGACCCTTGGCCACCAAACCCTCACCGCCCTAAAAGCCTAAAAGCAATGAACCCTACATGCGAGTTTCTGAAAATTGGGGGTGCCTTATTTTGGGGTCCCTATAGGGTACTACATGACCACATGGCCCTGCACTTACTTCCCTGCTGTATGAGGATGTGCTGCTCTTCGTGGACAACATCTTCCGCTTTACCCAGGCCGGCTCCGAGGCACCCGCCGGTCTGACGCCCTTCTTCGATGATTTCGGGGTTGTGGGATTTCGGGGTTTCGGGGTCTTGGGCTGTCGGAAGGTTTTGCTGGGAGATGCAACTGGGCAGGCAGTGCGGAGCAGGGATGCACTTCCTTGATTCTTGTTTCTACTTGGAGCATTTCCAAACCTTCTTCGTTGATAGTTTTGTGATCTTTGCTTCGCGCTGTTGCTTGTTGCGCAGTTTAATGTTGTCACGGCTCGTTCAAAGAGAGGCGGTTTCATCCGAATGCATGCGAAGAGGCTTGTGCGCTAGTGTGAAGATACTCGGAGGCCAGACACGAAGACACCGACAATCCACAACCTGGGTCACAACTCCTGTGCAGCCGAAGACTGCATACTGCCGACCCACGAGCCCCGTCTGTCCCCTCACAATAACTACCGTCGAGCGATTTGACCCCAAACCTGCCTGGCTACATTCCAAAACCTCGGAGGCGTGGGATTTGTTCTACATTGTGGTCTTTCCAGTCCCTGTTTGAGTCTGTGTGTTTAAGAAACGAAGATACCCTTGCGTTTTATGTTCGGGGAACCCCCGCACTAAGAACGGCCTTCAGGTGTCTGCCCTGCTCGGCCGTATCCCCAGCGCTGTCGGCTACCAGCCAACGCTGGCCACTGACTTGGCCTCCCTACAGGAGACTGATAATTTGTGATTTGGGGCTTTGGAGATCAACTGACATTCACAAATTTAGGGGTGGAAGGAGTTTGCCAGACTAGACGGACGCCTGAGAGTATGGGAGAAGGGAGGATTGGGGACCAGTTCCTCGAGACGAGAATGACCTTCGTCGCCCGGTTGTTATACATAGGAAGAGGCGAGTCTTTTTGGAAGCTTCGTTGTCACGAATCTGCCGTCGACAGGAGCGGATCACGACCACGCAGAAGGGTTCCATCACCTCGGTGCAGGCCATCTGGTCCAAGTGTTGTGACTGTTGCTTGCGGGATTATCATAGCAGGCGTTTCCACAGCTTCGTCGAATCTCAAACCTGCCAGAAGACCGCCATGAAGTCTCGTCTAAAGATGCTGCAACTCAGACGTTGAACCGCTAGGCGGCACTTGTTGAAAAAGGTCCTTGGGGTCAGGACTTGAGCAGGCCTGTGTTGTGAGCGTGGTGAGGCGGTGTACGTGCCCGCGGATGACCTTACGGATCCGGCCCCCGCCACCACTTTCGCCCACCTGGACGCCACGACGGTGCTGTCGCGGCAGATCGCCGAGTTGGGAATCTACCCCGCAGTGGATCCGCTGGACTCGACCTCCCGCAGCTTGCTACAAGAAAGCTGCAGCACTGTCGGGTATTCTCGCACAGACCCTAGGCAATGAAGCTACAGAGGGTCCTTCGGTCGGGTTCCGCTCCCGGACGGCCAAGGTATGTTGGACCCATCCATTGTGGGCCAGCGCCATTACGACATCGCACGAAGCACGCAGAAGATCCTCCAAGACTATAAGTCCCTGCAGGACCCAGTGCGATGTTTCCATTGTTTTTTTTCTTCAGCTCTTGTTTGCCACGTTTTGATGCTAGAAATTCCTTAAAGTCTCCACGCGAGAACGGGGAGTCACTCGGCCAAACAGTTTCATTGTCACAGTCTTCGTGGTGCTGACCCGACAGCCAGAACACTGAGACCAGGCTCCAGGTAAGGAGTCAGAGGCGTGTTGAATCTCTTCACTCTTTCCAAGATGACCAGGCTTCTCAAAGCTGCGAAAGAAGCTGTGAGAGACCTGCTGAAAGTGCTCTGTTGAGGACATCATTGCCATCCTTGGCATGGACGAGCTTAGCGAAGAAGACAAGCTGACGGTGGCACGAGCCCGAAAGGCAGCGCTCACTTTCGTACGATTGTTTTGGATTGGGTTTAGGCAAGTTCAGGACTCGTTGGGCCAAGGCCCTTAGCGGATTTTGGCTAGCCGAAGATTGGCAGTTGCAGTTGAGACTGTCCCAAAGGAGCCGGCATGTTTCAACATCTCGCCCTGGAAGCTTCTAAGTTGCAAGTCCAAGCATTTGTGCAGGTGCAGCGCTTCCTGTCACAGCCCTTCTTCGTGGCCGAGATCTTCACGGGCACCCCGGGAGCCTTCGTGGACCTGGAGACCACGTCTGGGGCCCATGCGCAGGTCAGGGTTTCAATCTGGGATGTTGAGGGCTGTCCCGCAGGACGGATCAGGACCCTGGAGGACTTAATTCTTTTGGTTGTTTCTTGCCAGGTCCCGCCTCCCACTTCCCCGCATCTAGCGGGTGTGCACAGTGCACAGTTGAGGACTGGAAAGATAATGTCACGGATGACGGACGGTGACGGTGACCATCACGATGGTGACGATGCAAGTGTCGCTTGATCCTCATGATACGGTGACCGTGTTTGGGGATAGGCCATCACAGCCACGAACGCTATCACTATTACCACCAGTGCCACGGCCATCATTCGCTGAAAATCCCCAAAGTCACTGGCCTGCAAGGCAGGTAAGTAAGCCTCCCAGTTGCCCAAGACTACGTAGGTAATATGACTACGACAATCACTGCTCAACGGCTTTAGGTTTAATGTGGTTACTGCTCAACAGCTTTCGGTTTGAAGCCTGCCTTGAGCTCCGCTCCAAGGATCAACGACTTCGAAGAAGTTTTGTCCGGAAACTGCGACGACATCCCAGAGGAGAGTGGGAGTGCGGCCGGTTTCCGGAGTCAAGTACTTGAGGGCTTTCGTCGGATTTCTGGGTGAGGGCAGTTGATCAGAAGTGTTCTGCCTGTGGTTTTGAAGGGCGGTGAAGCTTGTCAAAAGCTTCGTTCCGTCTCTGTGAGTTGGGATGTGCAGCTTTCGATCTGCTGCTTTCGCGAGGGCTCCCCAACAGCGCCAGGAATCCAGAAATCCGCTCACCCCGAAAGAAGTGACCTGTGCAGGCAGCCTTCTACATGATCGGAGGAATGTCGGACGTGAAAGAGAAGGCAGGAGCACCGGAGTGGAGGGCTCTTTCTATTGCCAGGATCGCAAACCCTCGGGTGCAGCAGAATATTCACAGACGTTCACATTTGTGTTGAAAGTGGGCTTGTTAGGCTCGAGCCTCCTTGAGGTCATACGTCTCATGACGAGGTGTCTGAACCATTAATACAGGGGCCTTAATAATCTGAACAGGGTTTGAGGGTATATTATACTAAAATGAAAAGGAAACCACCAAAGCCCTATTCTGCTTATTAACGCCCCTACCTTAACCTGACAGCCTGCCCGAAGAATTGCCACCAAGGCAGCGAAGCTGGCTGCGGTGGCCGCTGGAAAGTAAGCAACGCACGGGTCCAGAAACCTGGATTTCTGAGACAAGGTGTTTGCAGAGGGTCTAGGTACTTTCAAGACTTTAGGCGGTGTTCCGCTCCTACAGTTCGGTACTCTGAGCTTTAGGTTTTGATTCGGACGTCAGGAAATTGGGCTCAGGAGGTCTAAGGTTTGGAAGAGTTTCTGCATCTGTACGTCTGCGTGCAAGTGTACACATCTGGCACATATATGTATTTTTGTATGCACGTACGTATGTATGTAGGCATGTAGGCGTTTCAGGATATAGGTATGTAGGTATGCATGTAGGTATGTGTATGTATGCATGCATGTACGTATGTACGTACTTATGTATGTACTTATGTATGTACGTATGTATGTATGTATGTATGTATGCAACGTATGTAATATATGTAACGTATGTAATATGTGTATGTAATGCATGAATGTAATGTGTGTGATGTAATGTAATGCAATGTAATGTAATGTAATGTACGTATGCATGCATGCATGCATGCATGCACGGATGCATGGATGTATGTGTGTAGATAGGTATGTGTATGTATGCAACGTATGTATGTACGTAGGTATGCATGTTTGTATGCATGCCTGCCTGGATGCACACGTTGTGGTGTATGTATGCACACGTACTTACACGTACATACATTGGCATACCTTTAAGACAATCAAGCAATTGTACATGGCCCATGGGGCACATTCCGGATCCGGAGCCTCGTTGAGAGACCAAACAACTCGCAGTTGTCGATGTGCCCTTCGGAATCTGATCGGAAGCAGAAATGCCTGGGCCAGATGCTTGCACATGCCTGTAGCTGGGCACGCCGAAAACATAATTGCGGAGCCAGATAGCATCATTTCACAGATAACAACGCCGATAGCTCGTCAGTCGATTTTTTGGCCGGCCAGAGTGGAAAAGGAGTGGAGCAGGGTTCTTGCGTTTCAGTCCTGTGGTAGAGGCGCAGGAGAGTCCCTGCTTCCGACTTAATGCCGGTTTTGGAGAGTGTCTTGAGAGCGTGACTTACGGGAGTCCTGTAGTATACAGTACCTTCTACCGTGGAGCTTCGACTCAGATTCGGAAGCTCATGACATGGCCATCTAGGGACGTTCGCTACAAAGCACAACCTTGGAGAACGGCCGTAAACTATTCTCATGGGGTCTTCCGCTGGGAATACACCGTTACTCTGACGCTGTGGCGACGCCGAGGGGCAAGTTTATGTTTTCCCCACGGTCTTCCGACGTAGTCCAGCGGCTAGCGCCTGATAAGCACATCCTTGACTTCAGTATGTGCTGAATCACACAAGCAATCACAGGTGCGGAATGCTAGCGGATTGGGCTGTACACAACGATACGATAGTGGAAATTTCATGTTTAACTAGGCTTTGCAGTTGAGGGTGAATCGAACCATGCACGGTTGGAAAGTTCAGCAGGGCCGAGGTTTGCAATGAAGCTGCCGGACCTTCATGTTCCGCTTGGTGAGAACAACGATGCCATGATACCAGAGTTTAGTGCTCTGTTGCGACGGTTGATGCCAAGCCACGTAGCCTTGGGCTTGCGCATAGCTCTGCAAGCCGAGAACTTATTGCGGCGACATGCGGGTGTGTGGAATAACCACCACGTCCCACTGCTGATGCTCGATTTGGAGACCAGGGTTGGATTCGATGTCGCCATCGTCCAACAAGCACCTCTTCCACATCGACTTGCGGAGTGCGGGGAGAGTGGGGGGAGCTTTTTGTCGTTGCGTTTGACTGCCACTTCCAGTGCTGAGAACTCCTTCTGGGTGCCCGCACACAGTCAGCGTCCTCTTTAGCACCACAGCCTTGGAGACACATCGTGTGCCGACTGCCATTGCGCAGAATCTTACTTGACCGTGGGGTCACATTTCGTCCTGGGTGAATACATTGTGCCTCCTCGCTCCAACTCCCTGCTGCGAGTCCTGCCCCGGCACCTCCTCCTCCTCCTCCTCCTCCTCTGCCGAGGCACACGATGGCGCAGTCGAGCACTGTCTCGCCGCCTTGCTTGAGCACGGCGCCGATCCCCGCTACCAGCCTCAGGACGAGTCGACTCTAAGGACTTGGGCTGCCGGCTGCGGTCCGTCGTTATGGCCGACCGCCATGGCATGCCGTGGCCACGCCGCACACCGGTCCTCGTGGTACGACACACTGCCCGTCATCCGTCGCTAGGTCACGGCCGCAGCTGACCGGCTGCTCAATGCGTTGAAAGGTGATGTCCCGCTGCCGTGCGCTGCTGCCGCGGCACAGGCTCGGGCCCGTCTGCGACCACGGCCACGACGCACTGTCCTGGACCGCTCTGAGTGGAGGGGCGGAGGCGCCCGCTGCTCACGGACGTGCATGGTGAGGAGCTCCTTAGCCCACTCCGCGGCTGGCAACGGGTTGACGCACGAGCTAGCTAGCGATGAGCCCATCTGCGAGTTGCATATATATTTCCCCCTGCATCTCGCGCATTGCTGCTGTCGCAGGCTAGGTCTTTTGCCGCCCGCGCCTTTGGCGTACACCTGTATACGCTGCAATCTCACCATCCCTAATGCCCTTTCTCGGGTGCTTCTCCTCGGACGCGAGCGCGTGCCGTTGCCACTTGCGCCTCGTCGCTGCCGCTGCCATATAGGCTGCTCGACCCGCTTCGCGACCACCGGTCCGCTTGCGCCACCTCCGGCGTGCTGCCTGGTGGTGGTTGGTGTTGGGGTTGGAGGCAGGTTCGGTGGTGAGGCTGCCCCTTGCTCCGGCTTCGGCTCGCGCCAGCGAGCCGAAGCTGCCCACCCCGCCCGACCGCCATCAACACCTGGGTAGCGAGCTGGTCCGGCCTCGTTGAAGTCGCCGCGCAGCGAGCGTACGCCGCCTAGCTGCTCGAGCTCGCCCGTGAGCTCAAAAAGAGACGAGTTCGCTGACGACCTTTGAGTCATGGTCAAGAGTTGTGGGGGAGCGTGTCAAGGAGGTTTGGGTTGAAAACTGGTGCAACATCCCCCCACAACTCACGGGCAACTTTATACCCTTGGGAACCAAACAAACCAACCAACCGTCAGTAGACGGAATTTGTGAAGCTCGTCTTCGCGCGAACATAAGGCTGAACCACCGCGCATGACCACCAGCTCCCAACCAACCAATCACCCGGGTCGTTAACAGACATTCCACAGACACTACGAGGTGTGGTCTCGACCAGAGCGACAGGCAATGAAGACTGCCTCTAGGGGCCCAAATACAAAGTATCAAGAAAGATTTTTGTGAGTCTCGGTGCTTCACCTTGCTCCACCGGGATCGTGCGAGAAGAAAGAAAGAGTCCCCAGAGGCAAAGAAAGAAAGAGAAGGCATCAGGGTTGGTCATGTATGTCACGTCACAGGGGTGTCGACGGCCCACGCGGACAGGTACAGTAAGACCCGGCATCCGAGCTGTCCTGGCGCCTTCGCTTGATGGCCCGAGCATTCGCTTGAGCAGCCGCGCAGCTAGTTGCTCAAAGACTCAAAGATGCATTGGCGGACAACGGAGCTGTCAATCCCTTCAGCGGACGCTGCTGCTTCAACCTGCCGATGCACCAGCGGCTGCTCGAGAGTGGCCTCCATGAGACTCGAAGACCATGGGCTGATATTGGATGCCGGCCTGATGGCAGAGCTGTTCGGCGGGTGGAGCAGGCACCGGCCGGGTCACGCCAATGTCCCGGCTTCAAAACAGGACAATAACAACAAACGATTCCCCCCCCGCTCAGCCCCCGCTCCCGCTCGCATCCAGATATCATGGCTCGCGGAATTTCATGGCGGCTAGGGCACGACAGCGTATTAGGTTCTACCAATAGCATAAAATAGCTACGTCAAACGAAACCTGAATGCCCGAAGGCTGCCCCAGTGCTGCCCCTTGAGGGCTGAGGAAATCAAGTACGCGGCTGGTTATTTTACAGCAAGAACACTGTAATGCTTGCGGCCCAAATAGTAATGCCCCCCCGACCAAAAGTTTTGGCTTGAATGATCTTGAATGATCTGGTGTCAGTTCACGGCTCAGGTGTCAACAGGGGATTTCCACTAGACAGGGAAGCTTTACTGAGCAATGGCAAAGCAT